AATAGTTCTAGAAAGCTGGGAGGTAGTACACTAGCCAAGTGTAGTACAATAGATAGTTGTAGTAAGTGGAAGAACTGTTAGCCTCCGTGAGCTCTCCAAATCCCAGACTTTTTTCTGAAATGAAGACCCATTGTTAGGAGCCTGCATACACGAGTGGGTTTTAGAAGAAGGTGGCCGGTTATGAGGCAAGAAGGCAAGTTCAACGTACCACTTCCTGGTTCCCTCAGTGAACTTGAATGTGTATAGGATTTGGTTTGGGGGTGCAATATCTTTTTTCCAGTTTTTTGTTGAAGGTTGAGCATGACAGAGATAAGAGGCAAGAGGGAGAAACAATGTAGACTTGTCAGTAAAGATCTTACAGAAAAGGCCAGCGAGCTCTGCCTGTCTGGACACCTTCCTTGGCTGGCAAGGTGTGATGTAGACGATAAGGGGCCTTTCCTTTGGACCACACCTTTTGGAAACATAGTGACTCATTCTGGTTTTTTATGAAACATTTCAAACGTTGTGATTTGTGGTTCATTCTTTGTTTTTCTGAGAATCATCTAAAAATGGGTATAAAATTTACGGTCCTTTTGGATCCTTACACAAATTAAGAGAATGATAGCCCAGATAGATTAATTTTCTACTTGATTAGATTCATTTCTAAAGATTCCAGGGCGTGGCCATTTATTCATCTTTGAAGTTGTGGGGCTGGCCTGTGAATACTTTGATACATTGAGCCTATCACTCCGAAATGTGAGAAATTCGAAAAGGTAAACACCATGTTCTTAGGACCACAGGATTCAAACCATAGACGATTATTGATATACTCTTTAGGATGAATTTCAATCCAGAATTATAATAGAAATAGCAGAAAAGATGCTACCTTTTAGTGGCCCTTTTAAGTGATTGTTTACTGAGCTAACTAGTGAAAATTAGTTTAGGTGAGAATCCCATCTTTAGGGCAAGTTCAAGAGGATATCAGACCAGCTCCCCAACAGAAATCCAACATAATACTAGATTTATTAAAATGTGAAATAGTCACCTAAAACAAATTTTGACCTAAGTTAAAAGCCTACTATTTAGCTTACTACTTGATGATGTTCATGACATCTGCTAAGGAGTTGATGAAATTGAGTTTCAACTATGTAGGTCTTACTAGTAGGGACCCAAAAAGTTTAATCCTTTTTTTTTTTTTTTTAGTATTTGGATGATTCTTATTCTCTAAGCCAAGGGAAATAATTACACCTAATTTTGAGTTTATTAAACCAGTCTGTGTACAGATATTTCATACAGGCCTGCACATCCAGCCCCCCCACACCAGCACCAGCACTCTCCCTGCCAGGTCCACCCCACCCCCTTTATCTAAACATGCATTTCACAGGGCTCCATGCCTTGCCAACCGCCCCTTCAGGGGTCCTAGCCTTGAAAAAAGCTGTTTATCTCGCTGCTGGGTTCTGTGGGGGGATTGTTTGGGGAGGTGCTATTTGCCTGTCGAGCTATTCATTAGAAACCTATGTGTTAGGATTATTGTGGGGTGTGCCTGTCTCTGATTTATGTATACACTTACTCAGGAAATATTGATTTGAGCACATACTCGTGCCAGATACCAGGCTGCAAAGCTAAACAAATGGGACACACCGGTTAGTAGGAAAAAAGCAAGTAAGACTGGTCTTACCAGATCGGGAGCTGGGCGCGGGGAAGGCAGGGCCTGCCCTGGGCAGCACACACACATTATTGTCCTCATTATCCCTTGTGTGTGAGCCCCCCGCACAAGTCCCTGCATTCAGTGGCTGCTCTATAAATGTCTTTTTGAGTTGAATTGAAATGAAGTGAGGACACATTCGAGAGCAAACAGGGTGAGGGAATGGGATGAAGGGCCGGGAGAGGGGTGCTGCAGCAGGCTGCCCCTTGGAGATAGGAGCTGGCTGGCAGGAGTAGACTAAGGATTCTGGACGTAGCAGCCTCCTGTGTGTCTGCCCCACAGACCTGAGCAACCAGTCCTGCCCAGCTCCTCGCAAGCAAAGACTCGTGTCGGGGGTGGCTCATTGGCAAAGAGCCACTAAGCCCCAAGGGTGGAGTTTCCCCAATTCAAAACAGAAAAAGAAAAGAGGTAAATATTTGCCTTGTCCGTTGTTATTAGGGGCAGAGTGAAGGGAGCGTGGACCGTTTGTTTCACGGTGATTTCCCCCCTGTATTTCTCAGATTTTCAGTTGGCTAATTTAAGGAACAAATCCTTGTTGGAAAGCTACTTCCATTGCTTTTGGGGGGGCTGCGGGTTAAGTAAACTTTTTACAGCAGTATGCCTTACTGGTTTTGATCGGGATGTTTTAAAACTCTGACGTGTGGGTTGGAGTGTGTCCTTTGGTTCAACGTTTAGCGCCTGGCTCTGCCAGGAGTGCCCTTGGCTGGGTGCTCTCCCCAGCCCAGTTATCACTCCCCCGTGCAGGGCGATGGGAAAACAGAGCTCCTCTGTATGCTCTGGTCCCACGTTGTCCAAGGGCGGAAAATTCTGGCTACTTGAGTGACAGTCACAGTCCACCTGCTTCAGAGCCCTACTTGGTGGACCTCCACCATTTAGAATATGGCCACCGCCCTGAAAGTGAGCAGACGGGGCCGCCACGAGGTGGGCCTGGGATCACATAGCTCATGCACTCTGCTCATGCGTTCATGTAATGAACACGTGTGGTAAGCGGCTACTGTGTGCCAGGCACTGGACCAATGAAAAGACAGGGCTTCCAGCCTGCAAGAACTGTATGGTGGAACAGCATAGCAGGTGTTCCCGAAAATGGGTCTCCTTCTTTTACAGACAAACAAATTTAACAAGGGTTAGTTTCATTTGCTTTTCCAGCCCACAGCCAATCAGCAGTGGTAAATCGAGGGTTCGTTGGGAGAACTGGTAACCGTAGACACAGAAATGACAGCAGCCGGAAGTGGAGGAGGGGCACACAGAACATACAAAGGAGACGCCGGCATTACAATTAGAATAGTCTGAACAGGCCAGTTGGTGCAAGTGGGGAGCCCAGAGAATCCTGTATCCCCTGAGGACATTAGTACCCCACAAACTCCAGTAATTGATGTTCCTGGTAATGACTCTAAATCCTTCCAAAGAAGCGGATGGGCATTGTACTTAAGGAGCAGCTAGGATATCTGTTTTTCCTTTATTTTTTAAGATTACCATCTTAACCATCCAAATGGTTAAAATGTGTTTCTGCTTAGGAACCAGCCACTGTTCCTTGGGAAATTGACTCACATGGAAGGGCCTATTCCTCAGCAAAACCGTACCTACGAAACATAGCTCTAGTTTAGTCGAGCCATTGCCATACGGACCACCAAGAATGAGCAACTGTCAGAGAGTAGAATACAGTCATCTACTCTGAATACTATACCGTGCGCATAACGTAGTCACCAGAAGTAGCTAAACGGGAAGCGTTGCTCTAAAACAGATTTTCAGTGATCTTCCATTTCTGGAAACCACCCTGTTTGTGAGCACTGAAGAGCAGTTTGATGGCATCCACAGGCTATGGTGAGATGACCCTCAGGCTGCAGATGACGGAGGCTGTGCTGTCACCGCTGCGGGTCGGGTGGTGTGAGCTGGAACTGCCCGTCTCTATCACACCGAGCTGTTCTGTCCGGGAAGCAGGAATGGGAATGGACCTCTGCTATTTAGTTGGTCGTAGCGACTGCCTAGAACCAGGGTCCGCAAACTTCAGTAAAGAGCCAGGGAGTAAAGACTGAGGCCCGCTAGCCAGTCTCCGTCAGAACGACTGAGCTCCACCATTATAATGCAAAAGCAGGCACAGACCACAAGTAATAAAACTTCATTGGCTTAGAGCTTAAATAGTAATTGTGAGCACATGGGTGGCATGCATTCAAATCTGTATGGCAGCAGGAAAAACCCAGAGGGGCTGCATCTCAGGTTGTCAGATTGTTGGGCTTCAATTAGCTTTTCAATCATTATGGGATTTCATGGGATTTCAGCTTGGTTGTTTGTTTGATTTTGGTAGAACTTCCGTCGTTGGGCCTTAGTTATCTAGCTGCTTTGCTGTCTCCAGAGACTCGAGTTACATGTTAGGAAGAAAGGGCGCCTTGCTCAGCACTTGTTTCTGAAGGAAGGGGCCTTTCCTGGAGAGAACATGTGTGCACAGCCTGGTATGCCCAGGGTGTCACGGTCTGGAGTTCCTCACGAACACCCCCAACCCCCTCAACTCTCACACCAACCCTGTGAGGGGGTGGCCGGGGCTGGACTGTTGTTTTCACAGGTGAGGAGACAAAACCTCACAGAGCCCCCAGCCAGGTGGTGGGGAACAACCTTGGACCCATTGTCCCACATTCCTACACTTCGCCCCGCCACCCACAAACACGGAACTCAGAGAGCCTCTCCTCCCTGGAAGAGAAGCCATTTGGGCCGTAGGGCTAAAATTCCTGGCTTGTTTCAACAACTTTCCCATCCTGGTGACTGTTTTACTTTTATCACTAGTTAGCAGCACAGTGAGTTAGAACATCTTCACGGTTGCAGCTCAGCACTAGTCCTGGGTCACCGCTACTCCTTCCTACTCACCCCTGTTAACTGCAGACAGTGTCAGTGTCAGGCTCTGGGCTTGTCCTCGGTGTAGAGGCAGCGGTGTTACTGCCCAGGAGTGTGTTCCCGGTGGGCTTAGGTCCCTATTTGAACATAAATATTGAGGCACTGTCTGCCCGGTAGATCCCTAGAAACGAGGAGACCTGGTTTCAGTCTGCCTCTGAGTTGCTGTGTTGTGTGTGGCATCGCTGCCCTGGCTGACCTTGGGCAAGGTGTTCGCCCTTTGAAGGCTCCCTTTTCGTTGTCTGTCACGTGAAGGCTTTGGGCAAGGTGGCCGATTTCAATAAGCTGATGCTCAGGAGACGGCGGGAGAACTCACATTTCAGTGAACAGAAGGTTTAGGCAGCTTTTCTGCTGGGGGTTCACACGTAGATACACCTGGCTCACTCTGGGAAGGTAATTTGGTCAGGTCTCCTTGATGACAAGACAACACCAAATTTCGGGGTCTGTTCTTCTCTCTTCCAGATGCCAGTATGGACAGAATAGCCTATGATGCTCGTCCCCACCCACCACTTCCGAGACATTGAGCGGAAGCCAGAATACCTCCAGCCGGAGAAGTGCGTCCCACCTCCCTACCCTGGCCCTGTGGGAACCATGTGGTTTATCCGTGACGGCTGTGGCATCGCCTGTGCCGTTGTCACCTGGTTTCTGGTCCTGTATGCGGAGTTTGTGGTCCTCTTTGTCATGCTGATCCCATCTCGGGACTACGTGTACAGTGTCATCAACGGGATTGTGTTCAACCTGCTGGCCTTCTTGGCCCTGGCCTCCCACGGCCGGGCTATGCTGACGGACCCCGTGAGTATGTCTGGGCTGATTTGGACCACAGCCCACACTCTCCTCTGGCCCTGGCGTGCCCGCCACCTGCATGTTCCCCCTGACCTCGGGAATGTGGAGAACCGGTGGACCAGGGCTGGGGTGGCACCATCTGTGCCACAGCCCATCGGTCTTGGTGAATGAGACTCTACGTACATGTGCGTTAGCGGAGCCTGCAGTGGGAGGGGTTCGGTGCAGGGGAAGCCTCGCCTCTAGTTAGAAAGGCGCAGCCACATAACTATGGCGCCTGGGGCCAGGTGATCGGAGGGGAGAGCATGGGGGGGGTTGGGTCAGGATAGAGCTTCGCAGCCAGGACAGGACTGGAGCTCGGTGGATTTGAGATCAAAGCCATAGCCAGCTCCAGGCACCTGCACGGAAATGGCCTTCACTTTGTTTGGGCAAGGCCCGCCTTTTCCTGAAAAGCTGGACGAACCTGTTTTGGGCCGCAGCAAGTGCCTCCTGATGAAAGTCTGTGGGGAGAGCGGTGACTTAGCTAAGCATACATACCCAGCTGTGCCAGTGGCTGTTGAATGTCGTTAGCTGCTACTAAATCCTTCGATGCTGTTTGTTATCTTGAATGGGGAAAGCGCAAGTGTGTTATTTGATAAAGACCTCCTGCGGCTTCATTGTTTAGGGGGGGTGAGCGTTTAAATTAAGGCAGGGAGAGCACCCGCAGATTCACCTTCTGTGCGCCCCAAGGAAAGCTCAGTAAGATCTGGGCGCTGAGCGAGCTCCCTTCTCCAAGGGCTCCATTGCTTGCTGGGTCAGGTGGTGGATTGTTAGCCCGTCCCAAGGGAAAGCAGCTTCCCCAGCTCAGTTACATGTCAGCAACCAGTCCAGACAGCGCCCCTTCTCACGCACGCACGTGCCTGGGGAGCTGACGCACACCTGCGGGCAGGGCGGGGCCTGTGGGCCCAGAGCTAATGCCGCTTATAGGATCACCTGAAGGAGATGAAGTACCTGGTTACAATCGGAAATGTCCCAAAACTCAAGGGTATAAAAGTTTTCCCAACAGCATCAACTTGGCCCTACCAGAAACAAGTTAAGGGCTCATTCAGAAATGTTTATGATGCCCTTGCTGTTGGGGACCCAGGCATAAAAGATATTGTTTTGCTCACCATATCGCTTAATTTCTATGAAGCCCCAGGCACTATTCCTACCTCAGGTGCCCACTGTCTAGAAGAGAAGGTGGGTGAGGCTACTACTGTGTGGTTAGGTTCCTGGAATTGGATGTAGCTGTAATTTGCTGTGACAAACGGAAACATGGCTTGCTAAGGAAGAATAAGTGGGGGAGGGGGGGTTAACCAATCCCAGCAGGCAGGGGTGGCTGCCTGGAGGAGGTGGTGCCAGGCCCGTTTTTATCAGAGTGGTGTACGTGGGCAGGGGAGGTGGAGGGCATAGGGCAGGAAGACACTGAGGACCTTCCAGGCAGAGGGAGTAGCCTGCACAGACCCGGGAATGCAGGAGTGGGGGCTCCTCCAGGCAGCCAGGAGCACTCGTGGTGGGGACTTAGGAGGAGAATGGGTGTGCGCTGGTGTGTGGGTGGGCAAGCTGAGGGGCAGTCTGGGGCCCCTGAGGACGTTACGCAAAAGAGTGAGGGGATCCGTTGTCACTTTCCAAGGGTCACTCTGGCAGCAGTTGAGGAGGAGCCCTGGGGGCTGATGGCGGGGACACAATGAATGGCATGTTTATTGGGGGAGAGGTTTACTATTCTGAGGTTCCATTCTGAGCAGTGGATACTGCAGTGAGCAGACAGACCGAATCCCTGCCCTCTGGAAGCTCACATCCTCACGGGGTCAGGCAGCAAGAGGTGACTGAACTGGGTGATTTCAGAAAGTGACAACAGCTGTAAAGACAATGAAGCCATGTGATCAGGGATGTGCTGGTGACTGCTGGGCTAAGGGAGACTACTTTAGATCAAGGTGGCCTGCGAAGTCCTCGCTGAGGCGGGACCATTTCAGCTGAGACCCGAGCAGCATGAAGTTGCTAGTCAGGCAAATGAAAACCTGAGGGCAGAGCCTTCCAGGAAGAGGACAGAGGAAGTAAAGGCCCAGAGGTGGGAGTCTGAGAAACAGGTCAGGTGACCGAAGCACAGTGAGTGGGGACCGAGGGGCTAGAAGAAGTGGGGCGGGCTGCAGAAGCCAGATCGCGCAGGGCCTGATGGACAGAATAGCTGGTGTTTATTTTAAATGCATTGGGAAGCCATCAGAGAGGCATGATGTGACCATGCCTTGTGGTTTGATGGGGGGCAAATAAAAGCAGGCAGATGAGAGGTATTGCAGTGGTCCAACAAGACGTCTGGCTCAGACCAAGGTGGGAGCGGTGAAGCTGGAGAGGAGTCTATTTTAAGCCACTGATTAGTATATTTTAAGGAGTATATTTTAAGCCACTAATTCTCAAGCCTGGCTGCACATTAGAACCCCTTGGGGAGCTTTGAAAAAGTACGGATGACTGGGCTGTGCCCCCACCCCCAGGGACTACTCTAATTGGCCTGGGGCGGGACCCTGGGTATTGGGATGCTTTAAAGCTCCCATGAGTCTCTCAGGCTCATCCCTGAGACCTGCTGTTCAGGAGAGCTGACAGAATGGAGAGGAGTCGGAGTGCCTTCCAGAGCCTTCTTGGCTTGAGCAGCTGGGGAATGGCTGGTGCCATTTATTGAATGGTAGAATCTGGGGAAAGTAGATTTTGGAAAAGAGATCAAGGCTTTTGTTCTGGCCAAACTGTGTCTATATTACATGTAAGCAGAGGTGCCAGGTGGGCAGCAGACAGCCAGCCAGGTCTGGGGCTGGTGGAGGGTTTGGATCAGAGAGTGCAGCGTAGGGGTGATTGGTTTCTAGAAGACGTGTGAATCGGGGAGCACTGTGGTATGTTGCTTGGCTTCTACCCCAGATGAGTGACAGCCGTAGACTGTATCCCAAAAGCCAGTCAACTTCTCATAGGTGTGTTTTGCTGGTGGCCCCAAAGAAAACTGGGCACAAAAATGACGCGCCTGTCAAATAATCTACCATTGTTAAGGGGGGCAACTCAAAGCATGTCCTGTAGACAGGCCGCACCTCTGGCAGGCCACCACCTGCCTCCCCCCACTCCCAGCATGTGGCATCCTATGCAAAACCCCGTAGGTAAACAAAGAGAGGGGGAGCTGCAGCAGCGAGAACACCAGGGGCTCCCTGGGCTTCCAAGGAGCAGAGGTGGGAGCCCAGGTCTCACACTGAAAGCAGATGGGTTAGGGGTTCCTTACCGACGCTGCCGGGGGTGGGGGGGGGTGTTCTGTTTTTAAAACGGTGTCACTGCAGGGTTCTGCCGGGGGTGTGGGGGGGTGTTCTGTTTTTAAAACGGTGTCACTGCAGGGTTCTAAGGAGTTCCCTAATAGGATTATAATGTTTGTATGTAACTGTCAGAAAACGTTACATCCTAAGGTTATAAACCATGTATAACAATGTATATACATTGTCTATCATTTCAGTTTGCTAGTATTACTAGTAAACAAAAAAAAAGATCTAATAGTCTCTCTCAAATAGTTACTGTACCACTTCCAGCTTTGAGATTCTTACTCCGAATGCAACCCACAGCTTTCTGGGCCATTTAGCCAGCATTTAGTAAATGGGTTCATGTAATAAACGGGTCCACACAGAGCAGGAAAAGGAAGTGGGAAATGACTGACAAATGTGTAAGCAGGCGAAGCTCCCCTTGGAGAAATGGGACAAAAGGGCCGGGCCTGTAAGGAAAGGGGAGGAGACAGGGGCAGGTGCCTCACTCGGCAGGTGGGCTGGCCTGGAGGAGGCAGGAGCGAGGGCAGGAGCACCGCTCAGACGGGGGTTGGATCTCAGTGTGCCCTCCCCTTGCCTGCTCTGAGGTTGTGTAATTCATCAGAGGGGTGTTCTGTGTTCCTGAAACACTTCAGACGTTTGGAGGACTGGAGTGGTCCCACTGGCCGGGAGGAGGCAGCCTCTTGAAAGCAGCCTGCACTCACAAACCCTTATCTTGGTACCCCTCTCTCTCCTTTTCTCCCTCCCCCAGTCTCGCCATTTGTCTTTTCCGGTTACAAATACAGTTTTATTCCTCATCCTCTGAACTCCCGTAGGACTCCTGAGGGAGTCCCTTTAAATCTCAGATCTGGGACAATGTCTTTGTCCCAGAAGATGCTGAAAGCTGAGAGCCATCGCATGTTTCTTTTTGTCCTGATGGCCCGGAAGCTCAAAGCCAAGAACTACGCAAGTAGAGCAATTGTGCAAACCCTTGTGAGCTGCACTTTTTACCCCTCCTTTCTTTGGACTTAATAATTTATTAACCTCATTGTAAATTATCTCGACTCTGAGATTTGAGAAAAGGAGGACTATAAATCAATGATTTAACCACATTGCTAAGGAAAAGAAAATCTGCCTGTCTGCCTGCCGCTGCCCCTGTCCTGCGGACACCTTGCCGTGAAGACTCCACACGACTGTCTCAGACACACCGCTGCAGGCCACTGATTTTAGTGTCAGCGGCCAAACTCATGTGGGGAACCCATTGGGGCTCATGCCAGCGTGCCGTTGGTACTCCCTTCTGGAGTCTCACTCAGTGACCTTATTGAGCACACACTGTAGAAACCACGTGGCAAGCATTTGCTGGGGCCAGTCCCATGGCAGCATGATGTCAGGCCCCCAGGAACACGGAGGAATAGACGCTGGGTAATGGGCCAGGGGCCGGGGCAGCGAGAGCAGCGCCGTGCCCGTCTTGCCCAAAGGTGCCGCACAGTCCCTGCGTGCGGTCCAGGGACTGGCCTCGCCTCGGGGTTCATTTGAGTAGGGTGCTGCGTTCTCCCTTGTGCCAGGTGACTTCTCGTACCTGCCATTGAGCCACTTAACAAATGCCAACCGAAAAACCTGGCTCCACAGAGAGGAGAGGGGCCAGTTGGGGGTTACCTGCCTTCTACCTGTGTGTGGAGGAGACAGGTGGCCTGTGACACGGGCCTGGGGCTGGGCATCACGTTCTGGTGGGACCATGAGAGCAAGAGCTTCTGCCTGGACCAGCAGGTGGCACATGCCTTGATCCCATGACCCCGAAACAATTTCAGCAAGTTTCATCCTTGTTGACAGAAACGAATGGCAAAGCTGAGTCCTTGGCACCGTCGGCGTTTCTCTGGAACCTGTCTGCATTGCTTCCCATTGTGTGTTTTTTGCATTGTCCTGTCATCCTAGACACTCACTGAAACGGGCCTTATTATCATCCTAGGCCTGTTTCAATCACGTTAGTGGGGTGATACAGTTGTTGGCAGGAAAATGGTGTTACAGCATCAAGGTCCTGAAAAAAAAGTCCTCTTCAAGTCACTTATAAAAATATCTGATAAATACATAAGCTGTGTTCTGGAAGAGCACAGGTTATAGACTTGGATTGCTTGGGTCTGTAATCTGGTTCCGCCTCTTACTAGCCATATGATCCTGGGAAGTTGCTTAATTTCTCCGCTTTAGTTACCTCATCTATGAAATGAGGAATAGCATAGTCTCTACCTCAAAGGTTTATTGTCAGAATTAACTGGCAAAATACAGTAAAGCACTTGGAACTGTGCCTGGCGTATAAGCACTCAATAAATGTCTGTTGTGTCACTATTATTCCGCTCGGATTTATTGACTGCAGGCTCCATGCCAGGCCCTGGGCTATCCACTGGGCAGCACGTTGAAAGGCATCTTCTCTGTCCTCCAGGAATTTATAGTTGTGTAGGAGAGACTAATTAAATGGATAATTAAATGATAGTTGTTATACGACAAATACAGGTCGTGGTAGCACAAAGGCCAGGTGACGGGCCTGACCTGGGAGTGGCCTGGGCACTGAAAAAAGGCAGAGGAGGTGACCTCAGTGGGTTGTGGTTTGGGAGTTCCTGGCAGGCTGGAGGGAGGTGCTAATGCGGGGTCGCTGAGGGCTCACCCCCAGAAAGCACGGTGCCACTGGGAAGTACACAAGACGGACTGTCTAGAGCAGGAGGTGACAGTGACTTGGTGGTCCAGGGCTAGATCGTGGACCTTCTCTGAGCCCTGCCCAGGAGCTTGGAGTCTGGGCCAGGTGAAGGCCCGAGGGAGCCTGCGAAGGCTGTTAGGCAAGGAGAATAACAAGATCAGATTCATGTTTTAGAAAGCTTACTCTGGAATGTAGTGGGGAGAAGGAACGGAGGTGGGGCTGCAGGATGCGAGGGAGAGCGCGACTGAAGGCAGGGAGAGCTAGGAGATTCTCTGTCCCTGGGGCACACGCAGTGGAGCTGAATGCAGGCCATGACGTGGAGTGGAGGACATGCGATTCTAGGCCCGGTTGGGGCCAAATTAACACGGTGAAGTAGGTGAGGTTGTGGGGCAGAGGGGCAGAAGATTTGGGGGTGACTGCTGGACTTGTGCCGGGGCTGACAGGATAGATGGGTGTGCCATGGGCCAGGGAAGTGGGGATAGGAGAGACAGTTTGGGGAGAAGGTAATGGGTTGGGTTCTAGAATATTTAATTTGGGGGGTTGGTTTTAATGCCTTTTGAACAATCAGGTGGAATTATCTGCAACTCCAAAAGAGGTCCGAGTTGGAGTTGGCAACTGTACATCAGCACTGATGGGCAGGTTCGCAAGAGAAGGGGAGACATGGAGATCCAGAGAGTGACAGGGAGGAGGGACTGGGGTCCGTGACGAGATTCCAGGGAGATGACAGCTGAGCATCAACCTTTGGATTGGACGGACCACAGGGCGTTAGTTAGCTGCTCAGTGACCTGGTGAGAGCAGTGCTCTGGCTTGGAGGCCACAGGTGCCAGTGAGCAGCGACCTAGAGTAAATGTGAGGTGAGCAGAGACAGACACAACTTCAAGGAGCTTAGCTCTGATGGGGAGGGAGAGCGCGGAGTCTGCTAGGAGCCCGAGGGGACAGCTCTGAGGTGATGGTGTGGGGCCCCTGAGCCCTAGTCCTCCAAGATGGCGGGCACCTGTGGGTCTAGGAACCGGGCAGGGAGATGAAGACTGGGAGGGGGTTTACGCTGAGTTTCTCTCAAACAAAAATGCAAGTGAGGAGGGATCGAGGGAGGTACTGGAAGTTTGGGCTAGCCCCTGAGGGGAATGGTTTCAACTCCCTCCCCTGGATTCAAATGGATCCCACTAGGGCCCAATAAATATTTTAGAAGCGTACGTATGAGCGTCTCTGGATCTATGGATTTTTTTAAATGTTTTTAGCTTACCACATGTACAGAGAAAAGACTGGGAGAATATACTCCGAAATGCTAATAGTACTTACCTCTGGGTGATAGAATCAAAGGCTGGGTTTTTTTCCCTTTTAGTTTTCTCATCTGCATGTTTTTTAAATCATGAATGAGTATTACTTTGGAAATGAAGGGGAGGGAGAGTCAGTAATTTGAACCCACCAAGCTGCAGTAACGTGCTTGGAGCCACCCCTGTGAGACATAGAAGAATGGGGGGAGGGGGTGATTCTCAGCACTGCAAGCCTGACCTGATGACAGTGGCAGATGTCTCAGCCAGCCTTCCGACTCCCTGCCTTCGGACAGAACAAAATTCGCTACCATGAACTAGTAACAGGAAGCTCTGTCTTCGGTGGAGATGAGCCCATCTTTAAAAAAAGAAAGAAGACGTCTCCGGCAGAGACTGGCAAGTGCCTGTGTCACGGCATCCTGGCTCAGGGGCTGGCCCTGGCGGTCTCTGGCTCTGAGAGATGGGCCCCCCGGGGAAGATGGGGTCTTACCTGGATGGGAATGGGCCTGCCTGGACACTTATGCAAATGGTCACACTGGGGGGCCAGCTCTTAGAAAGGCTGAGCTGTTCCAAGATGCCCCCTCTCCGATGTGGTGTGCCATAGCAGGTGACAATGAGGGTACCACAGGAGAGCCCCGCTTGCCCTTTGCAGTGCAGGGGTTTCCTCCCAGAGTCCTTTATGTGGGGCCTCCTGAGGTTTACAGCAAATTCTGGTGGCTGGGACCTTAAACACTGGACGGCGGGGGTGAGGAGAGCCCACCCTGGGCCTGCTTTTAGGAAAACTCAGCCCCATTGCTTCGTCTCCTTGGGAATGATGTTCCTTAATGCTTTGGCCTTGTACATGTGACAATAGTGATTTCTGGTTTTGTGGCTTCAGGATCCATAAGAGGTCACACAGTTGCCTGAACTCAATGACTGTTTACATTAAAGAGAATGAGAATAAAGCCCTCTGGGCTTTTTGTAGGAAGGACCCTGTCGTCTGCCTGGGCCAGTGCCATCCCCAAGCCCCCTTTCAAACCCGCTCGCCTGAGTGGGCTGGGCCCTGCCTTGTCGTTGTGAGTCAGACCTCCACCTTGACCCTTCTGGTCCTCAGGGGGCTCCCTCAGCTGTCTCAAGATGGGACAGCCATAGCATTTAGGTTACAAACTTCAGGACAGTTGGTCATATTCCTACTGGATAGCTCCTTCCTGAGGTATAATTTTTCGCTTGCATTTTTAATGAGTTTTTTTCTTATTGTAAAAGCCACATGTTCATACTAGAACATTTAGGAAATATAGTCGAGACAATAAAAATTACCTGTGATTCTAGGTGAGATAACCATTAATACTCTTGCGCATACCTGTGTCTTTTTATATCTGGAAATATATAAAATTTGTACCAAAATGGGCTTATATGCTACATACTGTTTGGAAATCTGCTCTTCCCTTTAACAGTCTATCATCGGCGTTTCCCATGTCAGTAGCTGTGTCCTTTCATGGCCCATTTAGTGTCAAAACTGTATCCTAAGCGGCCCTGTACAGACCATGTAATCTTTGCCTCCCTAAGTATGTTTGCTTTTAAATTTTGTCATGGGGTTTTCTGGCATCTGACTGCATTTTGCAGTCCAGATTATTATTATTTTTTTCCTACTTCTTTTTTGACCTTTTAGAAAAAATTGTAATGAACCACCTCAGACAGTTGAAAGGATACAATGAATACCGCCCGTGCGTTCACCCTGGCCCTGCCTTAGGCATATTTTTTGTCAATAGAATTCTTCAGTGTTTTGACATTTCTGAACACAGAGTCCATATGTCGGATGAACGTGTCCTACCCCTGTGTGTGTCACTGCCGCTTTCCAGTGACCGTGTCCGCTGTGGAATGTCAGAGCTGATGGGAACCCTCGCCCAACCCTGACGCCTTCCCTCCTCCTTACAGGGGGCAGTGCCCAAAGGAAACGCCACTAAAGAGTTCATCGAGAGTTTACAGCTGAAGCCCGGGCAGGTGGTGTACAAGTGCCCCAAATGCTGCAGCATCAAGCCCGACCGAGCCCACCACTGCAGGTACGCGCGTCCCCACACACACTCCCCCACGGGTGCCTTCGGCGGCCGGGCTCCGAGTGCCCCTGCTCTGGGCACCGAGGGACCACCGTCAGGCTCCCTCCCAATCCCCATGAGCTTGCTGTCTACCAACGCGATACCCGTCTCATACCTGGCACAGGACCCGGGGGCCAGGGCCAGGCCCGGGACGTCTCTGCCTTTGTTTCCAAATGTGTGGTAATCCTGCTGTCCCCCCACCGCAGCTTTCTTACTTCAGGGCGGTCACGTGAGACGGAACATTAGAAAACCATTCTCTGGGGGTCTGGAACTTGACTCATGGAAGAGGCAGGCCCTGTCCCCTTAAGCTTCATAGGGAAGTGAAGGGTCATCCTTGAATGAAGGCTTTTCTTTGCAGCAAAACTTCAAGAGGTTGTGACAATTGTAGAATTCAGGCAAAAAAGCCATTTCCCCCCACCTTATCTGTGACGATTTTTCCCTTTTGGTTTTCAGATTTCTTTGAAGACAGCTAGCTAAAAATTGCACTTTATCGTTACAAGGGAACTTGAAATGCGTGATCACAGAAATACAAACATGTCGCTTGGTCCCTTTGTCAGACTGGTGTGTGTTTGGGGTGGGGAGAGGCTGTGGAGGAATGAACTGTCTCCCGGTGCCAGGTCACCCTTGCCAGTCTGCGGCTGGGGGAACATTCAGGTCTTGTGACAGATCCGAGCGACTGAGGGGGACAGTGCTGTGTGGGTTTCACTGCCCAGCTCTTGGAGGAGAGCGGTCAGCCTCCAGCATCCAGATCCCATGGTCAGCCCCCGAGCACACGCTGTGTCCCAGGCACCGCAGCTCACCGGGCCTCACCAGCAGCCCTCTTATCTTTGTCCCCACGGTCACTGTAGGAGACGGCCGTGCTGTAGGACTGACTCCTAGATGAGGACTTGAGGCTCAGAGGGGTTAAGTGGGTCTTTCCCCTGCCCTCCCTGCGCCCTCGGCTGCCCCCGCTGCCTGGCATTTTCCTCACCACCTCCCCCTCACCTCGCATCTCGGGATGGTCCGAGGGAGGTGTCTGAGTGCCAGTAAACACAGCAGCTTGAGCACAACAGCGCTGCTGACTCAGATGAACTTGACTGGGGCTGCCTGCTTTGCCTCTTTCTGAGTCAGGAAACGTATGCTGACAACTGCTCCTTTGTGGTGGCTTGCGGTGGCCCATGCCATCTGGGGACCCAACAGCTTTGGACAAGCAGAATCCCCAGCACCCCAAACAGAACTGGGTTTGTGACTGGTTGAGCCAAGAGGCCTGCTGCCTGGTTAGAGGATGCTGGTGTCGGTCTCACCTGCCCAGGTGAAGGCACGTGTGCACACGCGTGTGCTTGCGTCCAGCTGCTCAGGTCCGCTCCTCCCACTAGTCTATGGAATTTAAAACTCTCCAATCCCTGAGCTCAGGTGGGCACCACAGACACTTCCTGAACTTGAACCTGTAGGCGTTCCTTCCAGCCCGGTGGTATGTGGGTGGGTCCTCCTTCCGAGGAGAGGCACTCTGCAACCACAGGCTGCTTTTTCCTGGTATTGAGGACCATGGAAGCATGTGGAAATTCTGCAGGGAGGGGGCTGTTTATGGTAATGTGGACAGCCAAGGTGTGAAGCATATGTGTTAGGTTCTTGCACATGGAGGCGGAGAACCCTCCTGACCTTGGCAAAGCCTCACTGCCCACAAACTCCCACACTGAGGCCGAGTCAGTCATGGACTGCTTAGGGCTCTGCCAGATGCTTGTTTTGTCTTTCTCGTCGCCGTGACTACTGATAAAATGTGTATAGCACTGGCATTGTTGTTAAAGCATTTTATATATGTTATCTCTAACCCTGAGAGGCGTCAGAGCTAGTCCTGCAGAGGGTGGTCCAGAGAAGCTAAGCTTCTTTGTCCGGAGCCCACAGTGGGGATCTGAGAGCAGTGTTCTGTCCACTACACTCGCCTGCCCTGCCTCCCCCAGAGCGTTCCTGAGCGGGGGGCCAGGACGTGGCAGGTGCCTCTGGTGCTTATAACCTGAATCATAGCAACTGAGGTGTGAGATGAAAACACCACTTGGTACCACTTGGCACCTTCTGGCTTCGCCTCTCCCGCTCCCTGCTGGGCTGCAGCCTGATGTGGGGCCCATTTTCCAGGCTTGCTGTTTCCCCATCTGCAGAGTCTGAGCCTTCACTCAGCTGACCCTTGCTAAGCAGGGGGGCCCTGGGCTGTAGCGGTGGGTTAGACATGGCCCTGACCCACGGGCCTCCCACCGGGCAGGGCAGGTGCACTTGTCCATCATGATACAGTGCCCCTGGAGGGAGAGACACGGGGCCCTCATGGACATGGCCACATCTCCGTGGTGGGCCATCACCCAGGGTGGACAAGGGGGCCTGTGCCAGCTCCTCTGGGGCTGGTCCAGGGACCCTCGTGCCCGGAGAGGAGCCACAGGCGCAAGCGAGCCGGACGCACGTGAGCCGGTGGGCTTAGCGGGCTGCACCAAGCTGCGGGCCTGAGAAGTGGTGGGGAACCGGGCGACTGGAGGGCCAACAGCCTCCCGCTTCTAAAACGATGATTTAAAATCAGAAGGGGCCTCAGACCCTGAAGGCAGGGACGCCTCTGTTTCAGACACTTGTCTCTGCAGTGACTGTTACCGCATGCGTGGGACCAGCTGCCGGGCCCCAGGAGCTCAGCGACCCACAGCACCTCGCACGTGAGACAGTGGAGTTGATGTCAGAGAGGAGTATGGGGAGGGGGCTGGTGACTGGGAAGGAAAGGGCAAGGAGGAACCTCAGAGAAGGTGCTGAGAGCAGAGAAGCGGCCCTCTGGGAGGGAGCCTGCCTTGGCCGCTGTGCTTGGGCTGCTCTGCAGCCCGGGAGGGGACACTGCTGACCCCCTGCCCACCGTGCCATGGGGGCTGGCTCAGAAGTGACTGGCTGCCCATTGGGGTGTCAGGGGTTGTGGGAGGCCCACAGTTTTCCTTCCTCCTCATGACAGATGGTTCCTGAGGTGAACCATTTCGGTAGGATGTGGGCAGTTCACCCCCCTGGCCTGGAGCCTGCTTCTGAACAGCTCCGTAAGCCAGGGTGCCATGTTGGCATTTCGTGTCTTTGCAAACAGGAAATAGACCAGCACTCTGGACCGACTTTTTGCAGCTCTCAGTGGGTTGGACTCACTTTTCCCTGCTCCCTGAAGGATGAGTAGTTTTCTGCTTTGGCTGCCTGGTGAGACTTAGCCTGTGAAACGCAGCTTCCCAGGGTCACGCCTGGTCTCTGCAGAGGGGCTGGGAGGAGAGCAAAGGACGATCGGCCGAGAGAGCTTGTGTCGACTCTTGGGCACCTTTCAGAGGGCACCTCTCTGCTGCTGACCAAACACTGCCCCAGAGCACCCACTTGAAACCCCTTTTAGAAATAAGTGCGGACGGAAGAGAAACTACTCAAGAGCCTGAACAGGGAGGTGGTTACCCTCAGGAGTTTGTTCTCTGGACAGGGAGGGGGCTGAGAGCCGACTTCCTCGGGAAGGACAGGCAAGAAAGGGCAGCCGAGGGCACCTCCATGGCGGGGAGCAGGGGCCTGGCGGCTGAGGCCCAGGGTGCAGGGAGCATCGCTCTTTACTGTCTGCCTGTTGGGACCTTTCAATTGTATACCGAGAACAAGCCACCAACTAAAACATGTATTGTATGTTATTCATGTGTGTTGTTTAAGTTGGTAACACACATACGGGGAGAGACACTGGGCAATGGAGTTGCTGGTACCTGTCGCTGTACCTCCTCCATGTCCCTTTCATGCCTCCCTTGCTTCCCCTGCCCTCCTGGCCCCAAGGAGGCTCTGGAGCTGGGCCAGCCTTTCCCAGATGTGCCCATCTGTGATGTGTTAGCGAGGTCCTTTGAAGTTGTTGAGAAGAACAAGGGTGGAGCCCAGGATGACTCCGTCGCTCGTCTGAGCCAGGCCCAATGTCTGCTCTCCGTTTTTCCTGTGTCAGTACTTCCTTATCTCCTATGGATGGGGAACCTGAGGCTCGGAGCTTGGCCAGTCTGACCAGGCAGCACAGCAGACCCAGGTCTGCCTGGCCATCCAAGCTCATGCAGTGCTTAGAAAAGGCCACACCTCCTCCTGGGGTGTGGGGAGCCCTGCAGCTCAGAATCGGGGCAGGGGCCCTCGCAGTGGAGCCCTCCTTCGGTGTAGTCTGTGCCCCTGGCCTGGAGTCTGGGGACAGCTCATCCCCACACCCACAGGCGCCCCTCTCGCACCTTCCTGCCCTGTCAGTCAGTGACCAGAGCTCAGCAAGCTGCCTGTGTGAACTGAAACCGCTTCTCCCCCAAGCAGGGCCACCCACCATAGCCCACTGCGCACTTGAAGAACCTGAGCTAAAGTTAGTCATGGAAGCTAGTGGGAAGAAGAGCTGGTGGGAACTAAGGAACTTTCGAAAAAGAAATCTAATTGCATTATTTCCAAGCTTATACTTCTTGTATTTTAAACTGTTTTGAACTAATAATGCCCCCAAGATCAGTGAACTGGAAAGGGAACAGTTTTGATGGCCAATCTGTTGGAAGATGAGTCTTTCTAAACTTGAGCTTTGGGAAGAGTTGCTTTTGAGCCCCCGATTACCCTTGTACTTTTCTTTCATACCATTTGTGTGTTGTCCAAAAAGGGGTGGGGAGGGTGTTTGCTATCAATTAAGCTTGAGACTGTCCAAAAATGATCCCAACAACAAGATAGTAATTTACAAATTAATTACATCATCTGATCAACACTTAAGCTCAAATGACTTTTTTGCCTTTTTTGGCTAAGTGGATGTTATCTTAGAGCCAAAAGGTTCTTGGAGGGGGGCTTCCGCCACCCTGAGACGGTCTGCACTTCACCCAGCTCTGAACTCTTGTAACGCTCCCTCCATCAGCCACGCCCACCCTGGAAGCTTCTGCAGAGAAGCTCCACCCAGCTGGGAAGTTCCACCCACCCCTCAGCTTTTGGTCTTTTGGGGAAATTGGAAGCAGCTGTTTGCTGTATCCTCTCTCATCCTGTCACGTTTTTGAAACTGCTTCTTCCTTGTGTCCTCTCAACAAACCAAATCCTCTGCTCAGCGTTACCTCAGGAGAGGAGCCTTTCTTGGCCATGTCAGTTCCCCCCCACTTTTATGTTAAACAAAATGAGAGGCCTTGGAGGGGAATGACTGTCCCCCTCTTTGGAATGACTGTGATCCTGGGGGCCCTAACACTGCCCCCCAAGCCTCTTGCAACACGCACCCAGCAAACACCAGCGGTGCCTGAGGTGGCCACTCGTGGTGTGGAGAGGCGCTGGGTCTGGGCTGCCGCCGCGAGGAGACCCTGAAACACACCTCCTGTGGCCTCTTTCAGTGTCTGTAAGCGGTGCATTCGGAAGATGGACCACCACTGTCCCTGGGTCAATAACTGCGTGGGCGAGAACAACCAGAAGTACTTCGTCCTGTTTACAGTAAGTCAGCTGCCCAATTCTGCCCCACCCCCTGAAGCAGTGGGGCGCTTTGTTCCCCCAAATCCCCAGCACTCACAGTGGCCTCTGCTGCTGTTCCCAATACTGCCTGGCCCTGTAGACCGCCACCTGTCTGCCCGGCTCTCCTTGGCTCAACAAGGGCCTGTCTATCCCTACGCCCTTCGCTTGAGCATCTAGAAAATTGGGTCAAATTGATTAGCTCTAAGCAAGGGCCATGTTCTGGGCACCCATTCCCAGGGTCCAGTCTAAGGAGCTAAAAGAAGGCAGTTTGGGTGATGACCACTAGCCCTCCCCAAGCTGCAGGTGGGTGTGGGGGGGTGTTTGGTGTGAGGGCTGGAAGGGCTGTGGGCTCTCAGCACCTGACTTTTCAAGTGAGAAGAAGCAGCTTGGTGGAGCACGCCAGGGCAGCCCAGGTCGCCCTGGTGATGGCCCCTTGCCACTTGCTTCTGTTCTTGTTCCACGCGCTCCCGCTGAGTGGCTGCTCACCTCAGGCCCAAGGCTGGGAGCGGGGAGCTGAGTGGGGCGTTCTGAGCACCCCGTCCGGGGAGACTCCACGGTCAGAAGGTTCTCACAACAATGGCGCCTGCGCTGCCTTCCTGTTTCAGATGTACATAGCTCTCATTTCCTTGCACGCCCTCATCATGGTGGGATTCCACTTCCTGCATTGCTTTGAAGAAGACTGGACAAGTGAGTATGCGCCGGGCATCCCCGCTGCTCGGGGGGGTGTGACTCGAGCGGGGCGGGCTCTTTGTTTCTGTCACGGTGCCAGGAGCCCCCTCATTTGCTAGGTCTCCTGCAAGGCTCTGGAGTGACAAGGGCAGCATCAGCAGAGGCCCGAGTCCCACCTCAGGACAAAAAGCAGCCCCGTAAAGTCAGGGCCACAGGTAACGCAGTGGGCTGGGCAGAGCCTCTCGCCTGAGGTGCCCGGGGGGAACCAGGCCCCAGGGAGGAGGCGCACGTGGGTAGTGGGCGCCCTGCCCGGACAGGAGAACTTTTGTTTCCATGTCTTTCAGCAAAGCACTTTATTCAAAGGTCATTTTATTCCAATCTTGCAGAAATCCTTTTCTAATTTTTTGGCTAGGATGTGGAGGGGTTTTTTTGTTAACTTGTTTTTTGTGGTGGTGGTTTTTTTAACTGCTGCATCACCAGTTTACATGAAGACTTGGGCAGTGATGAGAGTGCCACAGATTGTCGATGAGGCGGAAGGCCTGTGTCTTTGGAACGGAGTTGACGGCCATTTTCGTAATGCCCACTCAGAGCCAAGCATGACCCACTGGGCTTTTTGAGCAGTGCCTGATTTTGACCTTGTAACAAGCCTGCAGGGGGGGAGAGGTGCTCCCAACATTGCAGATGACGAAGCCCGGGCTCACAGAGGCTGAGCTAGTTCCTGAGCGCACATAGCTAAGGAGGCCTGCGACCCAAGCCTCAGGTGGAGCAGGGGCTTCCAGCCCGGTCTGGGCAACTCCAGTGCCCGGCGTGTTCTCCATCATCTGTGCTCAAGACTCCTGATGGAGGAGGCTTGAGGCACCCAGTCATGGCCGCTAGGCAGGGAAAGTACAGCACAGTCCCCAAAGTTGGCCGTATATGACAGTTACTACCCTCACTGTTCAGCCCTGCATGAGCCGTGGGGCCGTCCAGCTTGTGTAAGAAGCGGCGGAGGACTGTCCCCCACATGAGGGCACTGAGAGGGCAGCGTAGGAGCGGAAGGAGGGAGCAAGGCGCCTCCCTCCGGGGAGCACCCCCATGTGCTGGGGCGAGGCCAAACCGTGCCGATGTTCCCTGAGGAATTCTCAGTCATTGCACTGCACAGAAGGACGAACTAAAGCTCAGGGCCCGGGGTCTTTTGCTGTCAGCAGTGCTCCAAGGCTGGTTGTGCAGCAGGGACCCAAACACAGTCCTCGCCCTCCCAGAGCTGGAGGTGTCATGGGAGAGCCAGGTAGCACGCAAGCACAGAAAGGACAGGTGATTCCACAATGCATGGGACAGGAAAGTCACAGGGGCCAGGACAGAACAGTAGTGGGGACATCGGAGTGAGAGCTTGGGCAGGAGTCGGTGCCAGGACCCCCAGCCCGCCGTGTCTGCCTGACCACAGAGCCCGAGCCAGGCAGGCAGCTGCCACACCTGTGGCCACCCAACCAAGCCCTGCCCAGCAAGGACCCACAAAAGGGACCATCTTTGTGGAACTTGTTAAGTTCCGAGGGAAATATGAGAAGAAGGCTTTGCCACGAGGTGTTCCTTACTCTGTCAGTTCCACCCAGTCAGTGCTGAGATCCCAGAGTTGGGGGCTGGGTTCCAGGTTTGACCTTCTTTGTGCCTCTTGACTTTCCTGTGAAGGAGCCAGCAGGGCAGCTCCAGGGGCCACTTACTCCCTGAGTTCCCGGAGCCCCGTGAAGCCTGACCGCCGCCCAGGGTCAGCACCCCCAGCCAGGGAGGCAGGCCTGAGCGCTGGAGCAGAGACGCACGGACAGCCCGGGCCTGCAGGCTCAGCTGTCAGGCTGTCAGTGGGGGAAGACCCCACGGGTCTGGGTGTGCTGCCAGCGCCATCGGCGGGGCCCCCATCTCCCCGTGTGGGCCGCATTCTCCCAGGGGCTTCCTGAGAAGCTGCCTTGATGGCGGGGAGCCAGAGAAGGGGCTCTGTCCTGCTCCCCCCACCATCTCCCACAGCACCTCTGCTTTTCTCTTCAGTAGGTTAGGTTTCTGATTTAGACTTTGTTCAGACAAATTATTCCACTGCTTTAAACAAAATCACATCTAGTCAAACCTTGCTGCTCCCCATTGGAGGGGCTGGAGGCCTGGAGAGGGACAAGGACTTGCCTGGGGTCACGCCCCGATCAGCATGGGCTGCACAGGAATCTCAGGGCCAGGACTGGACAGAGGCCCCTACACCTGTGCCACCTCAGTGCGCTCTCTGAGGACAGGAGGGCCTCCCCGTGGCGTCGCCGGGCCTTCGTGCCTCAGCCCTGGAGTACAGACATCACAGGCTGGGGGGGAAGAGACGGTGCACAAGACCTGTCAGGGTGGCTCCCCTGGGGGCTGTGCAGCCAGGCGTAGGGCAGGGTGGCCCCCAGGAGGCCCCAAGGCCTGCAGGGCTGGGGGCAGCGGGCAGCGGGCCTCTGCCCTGAGCCCCACGTGTCTCCTCCCTTGCAGAGTGCAGCTCCTTCTCGCCGCCCACCACGGTGATCCTCCTCATCCTGCTGTGCTTCGAGGGGCTGCTGTTCCTCATCTTCACGTCGGTGATGTTCGGGACCCAGGTGCACTCCATCTGCACAGACGAGACGGTGAGCGGCCGGCCTGCCCACCACCTCCGCCCCTGGGGTTGCGGGGGGACCCGGGGCCGGTGTTGCTAGTTGGGGGGCTGCTTGCAGGCCAGACCTGGGAGCCCATGGCCAGGCCCCGGTGTGCAGGGCACATTCCCCCGTTTGCAGTGACACTGGATCTTCACACACAAGTCCTCCTCCTTGGGGCTGGCCGGGCAGGTCACACGAGGAATGGGCCAGCAGCCTTGGTGAAGGGTTCCCTTTGCCACAAGTCCTTCCGTCCTCCCACTGTGGTTCTGTCTGTATGCAGCTCTGTGTCGGGCACTCTGCTGGCCACTGGGACACCCTTCGAATCCAGGGCCACAAGCCTGGAGACGGTGGTGGACAAAGGGTCCCATAACCCAGCTGGCACAGGCAGGGTCAGCTTCCCAGAGGAGGTGACTTCATGACTAGGTCCTGAGGGTGGAGTCAGGAGACACCCCTGCCTTGAGCCCCCAGATCAGTGGGCTCAAGGTCACCTGGCCTCTTAGTCACCTCTGCTCGGCCCAGCTCTGGTCCTCGCCTGTTGCCATTTCCCTGCCCCTTCCTTCCGCTTACAGCTCCTTCTCTGGGGGCGTCAAAGCTACCAAGCTGGGCTGGACAGGAGTCCGCTGCCCTGGGGCCACTGCCACCACCCCCCAACGTTTTTAAGGTGTCCCAGTGCCTCAAGGTGGTCAGTCCATGGCTGTGATGTGGGCGTTTCTTCCCCTTTTGGCTTTGGGGTCAAAGGAAGGGGCAGAGTCATGAGGTCATGAATCCGTCCTGGCTTCTGGAGGTCCCCTGAGATGGCAGCTCTCAGCGATCGTCAAGGGCCCCTGTGGGGGCACTCCAGGCCTGTTGGGTAGTCAGCTTTAGATGGAGACTTACAGGAAGACAGTCCGAGCCTCTGCTGCTGAGGCCCCCTCCCCTGTGGGTGTGGAATGTCAGCGTGCAGAGGAGGACGGTGCTCCCAGCTGCCAAGGCACCATCATTTGCATCTGCGGCAATTCCCAACGATTTAGGAGGTTGGGTGGCTCTCAGCAACTTTTTCCTTTTGTAAGAAATAACGTCATTGTGAAAGAGTTTCTGTAAAAATAGTCGCCAGTGGTGTAGATCCAGCTGTGTATGCAAGCAGTAAACATGACCCACTTCTCCGTGTAAGACCTGCAGGGAACCACAGGTGACTGTCCAGCCTCCCCTGCTGTTGGGGTGCTGCCAGGCCACACAGGCCGGGGTCTGGGGAGCCCGAAGGAGAGCTTGCGGCACTGGCCCTGGCAGTTCTTCCCCCCAAGGCCCAGAGGGAGTCGTGTTGGAAAGGAAGGGAGGGCCCCACAGCTCATGGGAAGCGGCGCCTTCCCCTCACCTCTGTCCTTCCCAGGCCCCCAGGCTGTGACCAGAGACCCAGACTGGGCTGTCCCCTCAGGCCCCATCCCTGCCCCCCCACCTCACCAGAGACCACAGCAGGCAGATCCCTGGCCACTGACCAGCTCCATCGGAAGAAGGGAGAAGTGGGGGACCAGCTTTCTCCGCCAGCCCCCATTTTTTCTATGAGACTTAGCCGGGGGAGCGGTGCAGGCTCTGTGACAACTGCGGAGGTGGCCCCAGGTCCCACTTCTCCGCACAGGAGCCCTGGGAAGACCTTTGCCGTGACCGAGGCTGCCTGGTCTGTCCGTGCGGCCCCTCTAACCTGTACTAATCCTTTCTCCTTCCTCTGACTTCTCCCCTGACTCCAGTCTCTTCCTCCTGTTCCGCCTTCTCGGTTGTGCCTCGCCAGCCCTGCGGAGCTCCCAGGCTGGCGAGACTGGCAGCGCCAGAGCAGCCATCTGATTCGTTCCTTTTTTTTTTTTTGTCTGCAAAGTGGTCATAGTCACTTCAAACTTCCTTTGGTCCCAAATGAGCAGCCATCGCTGGCTGTCATGATGGCCAGCTCTGAGGCTTCCCGGCCACAGCCTTCACAGCACTCCCACACAGCCAGCACCAGGCCAGAACCGCCCCTGCAGAGCCAGTGAGGACCCAAAGTCTGCACAGATGTCCCCGTCACCTAAGCAAGCACACCGGATCGCAGGCTCGGAATAATAGCTTAGGTGCCTGCCGACGGTGCTCATTTTCCCGCCCTTTCTGGAGGGACTTGTAAATATGTGCCCACCCACCACCGCCCCTCAAAAAATGTAGGGGTTTTTTTTTAACATTTTTTATGAGAGAAAGGGAAGAAAATGTATCATGTAGTTAGCTTTATGACTTTGAAAAGGAAGCAATACTCCATTCGCCTCAAGCTAATGGACATCCCTCCCCCAAAACCACAGCAATAAAGTGCTTGACTGAAAGTGTGATTGTTCTTGTTTTCAGGGAATAGAACAATTGAAAAAGGAAGAGAGAAGATGGGCTAAAAAAACAAAATGGATGAACATGAAAGCCGTTTTTGGCCACCCCTTCTCTCTAGGCTGGGCCAGCCCCTTTGCCACGCCAGACCAAGGGAAGGCAGACCCGTACCAATACGTGGTCTGAAGGACCCCTGACCAGCATTGCCACTCAGACACAAACCACATCACAGCACCACCGTCCGATCCGTTCTCATGAATGTTTAAACCGAAAAGCAAAACTACTACTCTAAAACTTTTTTTTATATGTCTCAAGTAAAATGGCTGAGCATTGCAGAGAAAAAAAAATATTCCCATGTTTTATTTTTAAAAGCTCATCCTTTCTATTTTTTGGTGACCGAAGCTGCTCTCCTTTTCTCCTTGTTAAAATCACTTCTCTGGCCTCTGGTTTCCTCTCTGCTGTCTGTCTGGCATGACTAACGTGGAGGGTGCTGTCTCCGGGTCGTGCCCACTTCTACTAACTGAGTGGGATGTGACACTGGTGCGTGGATGGACCGGTCCGGATGCCTGGCTGGGGACGCATAGGAGGGCCGTGACCTCCCCCTGCCCTGGAGGCAGTCACAGGCGCCCCGTGGGACTTAAAACCTCACCGAAGACGGATGCTTACCCCTTGTGGCCTAGAGGGGCAGGATCAGGGCCGGAGCCCCGAGAAGGGCCCTTGACACAGCAGCCTCATCCCCCATGTGGACATCAGTTGCTTGCCTTGTACGTTGTGGACTCGGGTGTGCGGAGTGACTGGGGGGGGGGAGATGAAAGGGGTCTTCCTTGTGTCCTGAATCACCAGTCATATTCCCTGTGATTATTTGGAAGAGTATGAAGGAAAGAAGCCTTTCCGGTTCGAATTGCCTCACACAATCAAAAGAAGAAAGAGTGACGTGACTTCAGGCGGGCGCCATTTTCCTATTATGTCTGCTTACTCTCACCACTCCCCTCCTCCGTCCGGTAGTCCGGTCACAGTGTTAACGCTGAGTGACACAGCTGGAGTCCCCACACTTGCAGTGCTGCCATCAGCCCCTTCCTCATTTTGTAAGTCTCCAAAGTGGGTTCACTTTCTGATATTTTAGACCCATCAATGTGCACAGACCCACGTCTTGCCTGTATTTTAACCTGGGAGACTGTCGGCCTGACATGGGGCTGACTGACGCACATGGGGCGACATTCCAGCCCCCTAACTTCAAAGCTGGTGGGTGGCTGTCCCAGTCACTGAAATCAGCAGGTCCACGGAAGCCTCCGGTGCTGGGACTGGGTAGCTTTTCCATTTGGAGGCGCTTCCTGTGTTGTCTCATTTGCAAGAGGAAGGCCTGGCGATTATGGGGTTGGTGAGGAGACAGGAAGTGCCCATCAAACGTAGAAATCATGGAAATCTGAATACCGACCATCTGAATTCTCACACATGGATTTGTTTTTATAAGTAATCACCACAAACCTGGGTTTTTTTTAGCTTTTGCTTGGGGTGGGGGTGGGGGAATAAGTTTTATTAAATCCAGTCTTGGATAGGAAGACCGTGAATCTAGCCATGTGACTTTTTCAGAAAAGTTAGTGGAACATGCTGCCTCTTCAATTCTGTCAGTGCTTCCACATGGAAACAAAATGCAATAAAACTTTTCCAAAACCTGTTCTGATTGAGCTCTGCTCCCTCACAGTGTTACCCTGTGGGGAGGGCCGATTGTCCAGTCACCGTGAGTTTGCTCTGGGTGTTTGTTTTCATTGCCTTTAGAGGACATTTCTTTCTGCTCCCTCTCTGGAATGAGGTTTTTAGTGTGTTCTTTTAAAGGACAGGAGGTCCCCCTCTTGAAAAAGCTTCCCCACCGGGCTCTCTCCTCGGGTTTCTGCAGCCCAAATCCCTTCCCTGTGCTCATGGGTCTTCAGTTGCTACAGAAAAAGCCATCCTGTCTGTGGAGTTTGCTTCCAGGGCTGGGCATGGGGGAGACCTACTTTCCTCTGCCCACCCAGCTGAAAGCCAAACCTCCACAAACAGTTCTGGTGCGCTGCTTTGATGAGCTCGCCGTCACCCCTTCAATGGTTAACCGAAGAACTCTGCGACCCCAAGTCAGTTAACTTGGACTTGCCTACTGTGCTATGTGCACTGTAGTCATGGCCAGGTTAGAAGGCTCTGGTCGTGTCACGCCCCGCAGAGATCCATCCCCTGGGAGGCAGCTGTGCCACTCTGGTCCTCCTGCCACAGGAGGGAGACTGGGACCCAGGGAATATAAGTATTCGGATGCCCTGTAAAGACCCCATCTTCAAGGGCATTTTTTTTTAGTGACCTAAGTTGGTTCTTTCTCCCCATGGAATTTCTAAGGAATGCAATGGATAGTGCTGAAGATGTATTTTTTTTCTTTTTGAGTCCTAAAAATAGAAGCTCGTCATTTAAACCTGAGCACACTGCGTCTCCTTCCCAGAGAAAGGCATTCTGTGTGATTCTACCTCTGGGCTTTTACGAGCCCTCTGGTTGAAAGAGTGAATGTTCCCCAGTTCTCAAGCCAGGGTGCCGGTGCCACCCTCCGGAGATACGAATACCCTCAAGCGTCCCTGTGTTTTCCCTGTTTCAGTTTTGTTGAGACAAAACGTTTCGCCGAGAGCACAATGACTAAGTAAGGACAGTGGCTGTCATTTGCAGTGTAGGAATTGGTCACCAACCTGATGTCCACACAGGAAGACATGGGTCTCCCCTGAGCTCTCAGTATTCCCAGGCGTCTAACGAAAGAGGACATCTGTCTACACAAAGGCTTCCCGGCCTCTGGCTTCGGCCAGGACATGTGACAGCACCGAATGGTGCTCGCATGGAAAATGACAGAACGTGGGCTCTGGAGAGTGGAAGTGAAAAAGAGGAAGGTGACATGGCAAGTTGGATTGGGTGACTCCTTCCCACCTGTCAACTTCATTTTTGTGTTCGTAACCACCAGACAACATGCAAAAAGCCTAGGTCCAAACAAATCTGCAGGTTTGCATTGGCTTGGTGACATCGTGCACGCGAAGCAAATTTGGGTAGAAATGCATGTGCCAAGTTTCCTTGTAGTCATAACCATTTCAACTTCGTAATACTTTTTTTCTTGGAAGAACCAAAAGTAAGACCCCTTGAATTACCAGCTTTTGCTTCTTCTAGCTTAGAAAGGTAACATCCCCCTTCCTGGTGTAGGGAGCTTTCAGATGAAGTCGATTCGGAAGCGTTTATGAACCACCTATGTGAGGACGGCCTCACACACAAGCCCCCGACCGCAGGAGGCTGGCTGGGCTCTTCCAGCCAGGCTCATGGGTTTTAAGTTTCTCTCATGTCAAGACTTGTCGTGCATCAGCCTGAAGGGTGAGCCAGCCAGTAGAGCTGAGGCATCCCAACCTGGAAGGGGCCCTTCAATACCAAAGAAATGTAGAGAGGAAGATTTTGCTAGATGCCGTCTTGAGAATCTTGCTGCTGGTGATGCACTGAGGCAGTGCATCTCAGGGTGGTGCCCAGACCACCAGCATCTCCTGGAGCTTGTTAAGAAATGCAGGTTCTCGTTCTCCAGCTGGGCAGGGGGGGGGGGCAGCCACCTGGATTTCAGCAGCCCTGTGGGGATTCTGACGTGCACACACTCAAGTCTGAGAATCTACCTGGGCTTGAGGGGGTCGCCCTATAAGCGGCCTCTGATGCTTGCTGATGATGTGGTCCTGAGTGCTGCTGAGTGGGGTGTACCCACTGGGGCGCCTCTCTGCCCGTAACCTGTGGCCTCCCCAGCCCATGAATGCTGAGAAAACAGTGAAAGTGATTGAAGGGGAGCCTAATTACTAGTCTGTCCAGCAGTCATCTGCACATCTTATCTGTCCAACTGGCTTCTGGACCAAGAGGCCCTTTGGGTGAAGAACGGTCCCAGAAGGGCAAGGGGAGAGTAGAGCCAGGGTCCCCCAGATGGCATGGTGGTAATTGGAGCCTGGGGTGGACACATGCACACATCCTGGCCTTTGGTTTCCATCTGGGGGCCTCCACACCCACAGGGCTTTTTCTCATATCTTTTAAATACATGTCTGAGCTGAGAACCGCCTCATAGGAGATAAGGAATTCACAGTGAGCGAGACAAGCCGCTGGCCAGTGCACTCTCCCAAACTGAAGACTTCATCTCCCCACCCTCTCCCTCAAGAAAAAAAATCAATGGTGACTGGAGTGGTGTCATTACCCTGGCAAAGCAGCGTGGCCCCCAGGGCCCCCTCTCCATCTGCCTGCACGGAGGCTGATGAAGCTGGTCCAAGGAGCTGAGAAAAGCTTTGCAGAAACCGGGGGGGGGGGGGCACATGGACACGGAAGGCACCCAGGATCCTGCAGCCGATGTGATGCGGGCTGGCGAGGGGCGTGGGGGCCCTGGCCTCAGTCTTTGGTGCAAATCCTGGCCTCCTGTGACCTTGGGCAGTGACCCACGTACGCCTCAGTTTTCTCATCTGTAAACTCAGGGTGATCGTCTACATCACGAGGCTGACGCGAGGGCTCAATCAGGGTAACGAATGTGGATGTTAGTGTGGCGTCCGGCACATCGTGTGGCTTTAGTGAGTGTCACCTGTTAGAGCCGCACTTTTCAAACCATGGCCACAGCTGTTCATGATTTGTGAGATCAGTTTGTTGGTTTGCAACAGTTTTGTAAAGAAATAAAAAATAACGCATTACACATTATAGGACAAGTATTGCTTCATGAAACTTTGGGGGGATCTGCAACACAGAAGTATTTCGTGCTGTGGTTTGCAATGAACAGGTGTGAAGCCACCGATGAGGAGCCTGTTCCCTGGCCGTCTGGGGCGGGGCACGTTTACGGGCTGCAGCATGTGACTTTCTGCACCCCGTGAGGTGGGGAGCAACGAGCAACCTGCTCTTGCTCTGAGGCTCTCGGCTGGGTCATGACAGAGCATGTAATTAGTCTGTCTCCCTCGGGAACCTGGTACTCCGCAAACCTCCGCCTAAGAACTTGGCCTTCGGAACACCTTTAAATCCACACAAAACTCAAAATTGAGTCCCTCCAGGAAAAAGTAACCCCACTGGCTCCTCCTGAACCTTGGCTTCCGGAAGAGATGGAGAAAGCAGAGGCCCCAGCGGGGTATAGCCTCTGGAGGGTCTTGTGGGCCTGCAGAGCTGGCCTGGCTGCGCCTTTAACATGGGGGCTTCTGCCTTTACCCAGCGCCCTCTGCAGCCAGCACCAGAGGCAGGTGAGTGGGCCGCAGGGTGTGTCTCCTGCATGAGCAGACCTGACGCCAGTCTTTGCCTCCCCACAGTGACCGTGCGCCCTCAGCCACCCGCTGCATGTTGTCACCGGCTGTACACAATCTGCTTCCTACCCTCACTGCGTTGTTTGTATCCTGCGTTGTCCCCTTCACCCCATCATCCTTCATGTTGTTGGCTGCGCCTACTGTAGGGGGAGTGGCCCAGAATCCTCAGTGAGGGGTCACCTTTTTAGTGGTCTCAGGACAGGTGGCCCAGCTCACACCCGGGGAGGCCTGGGATGTTACTCCTTGGCCCCTCGGCAGCCTGGGGCACAGCTGGCCCTACTTAGCGATGCCGGGCAAACTTGCACCTGTGGGGTGGGGAGGGGAAGGCCTGCCCGTGCCACTCCCCGCGCGTCCGTCAGCCCTCTGTGGGGCCTCGGGGCTCTGCTGCGCCAGGGCTGGGGGTGCACAGCCCATGCCATACTGACCCTCTCTATCTCGTCCCTCCAGGGCATCGAGCGCCTCAAACGAAAGCACCAGCCCAGGGAGCACAGAAGAAGCTGGAAGGCGGTAAAAGAGGCCTTTGGTGGGGACTTTTCCCTGAACTGGCTCAACCCCTTCTCAGGACCGTGTCATCCAGAGCCTCTCAATGACAGGGACTGGGTGCGGCAGGTGGCATCGATGTCAGACACCGACAACACGGAAACAACGGAGAGGAAGGACTCGGACTCGGTGGAGGTGACAGACGAGTGACGCCACTGTGGGGAGAGGGCCAGACACTGACGAGTCACTGTCAGCTTGGTGGTGTGGCTGCAGGGCTCATGGACGGGCGGCACCCCCCTGCACCCGCTTCCCTCAGGCCGCCCACTCGCACTGCCAGCCTCTGTAACCCCTTCCCTCTCCCCATGTTGGGCCAGGTCTGGGGGTGGGGACAGATTAGGGGTGACAGAGGACAAGAGACTCCCTGAGTTTGTCTACGGGGAGTCGACTGTCAGGAGCAGTTCCCCACGACTGGGCATATCCCTAACCAGGGCAGCCCAGGGGCAGAAGAGAACTTGCCTTTGGCTTTTCTTGGGCTGTCTGTCTTCTCCTGGGAAGGTTGGGGCCCTGCCTCTGGCGTTTGAGAACTAAGGCCATGACATTATGAGAGAAGGACAGAGCAGGGGTGGCCTCAGGGACCCGGGTGGGACACTGACATGAGGAGACCAGCCTGAAAGGCTGCCTGGGTCCCCGCGGCTCCCTGGACAGGGCGCCCCCTGCCGCCCAAGTCAGGAGGAAGGCATGGCACCCACAGCTCCCTGGGAGGGTCAGGGTTTGAGAGGACCCAACACTAGGCTGAATTCATACGTGTGGGACGTGCCCAGGATGGAAACAAGCCGCACTGATGGCAGCAGCACCAAACTTAGCTCCTGTTCCACAGATACTAGAATCTTCACTGAGCCAGGCAGCTTGGAGCTGGCCTGCCTTGCGGCTACAAATCCGTCCGTTCACAGGTCGGGGTGGGGGTGGGGTGGGGAAGACCTAGTCAGAGCCATTGGAAGCCTGAAGGCCTGAGCAGGGGAGCCCCATTCCAGTGGCTGCTGGAGCAGCCTCTTCCTTCCACCCACAGTGTCCAAGGGTTCCCCCCATCCCCGCCCCGTCCCCCCGTGTGGGCCCATTTTTCTCTTTGGCCCACTGCCCGTGTCGCCAGCACCTGTATGGATGGAGGGCTCGGGCACAGGGGCAGAGCCTGCCCATGAACAGTCCCAGCTTCAGGCGGGCCTGGAGCCCCTTAAACGAGGAAGGTCAGTGTTTGGAGGTGCAGCCCACATCACTTAGAAAGGAAGGCTGTGGGGGCCAGGCAGTGTCCTGGTTCTTGGATAGCACCCTCGGGTGTTCCACGAAGGGTAGAGATTCCGTCAGAGGAAGACGTCCTGCCTACAGCAGGTGACGCATCAGGCTCCGGGGTTAATTACCGAGAGGGGCCGGCACTCAGCCACCTCTGTCCGAGTCCCTGCTCAAAGCTCCCTGGTGATGTCCAGCAGATGGGTGGAGGCAGGACTCGAGCTTAGGCAGAAAGACAGCGGCTCCCACACCCAGGCCGTGGGCATGTCCTCAGGCCATGTCAGCTTTAATATTTATTAATGACGATGAGCAGCCCTGCTCAGCTCCGAAGCCCACTAACCCCAGTTGCAGGGCGCACCTGCTTCCCGCTTTGGGAGAGCTGCTCTCTGACCTGGAGGCCAGTAGTTGAGGTCCTAACCCAGAAGGCAGCCCTGGGCTGTCAGCATTGTGGGTTGTGCACCAGACTCCACCCTGGGAGCAAAGCAGTGCCACCCCCTGGCGTCCCCAAGGAGGCAGGGTTAGGGGTTAGAACAAGGAAGAGGGTTTGCTGCTCTCTGTTGAGTTCCGGCCTGAGGTCAGAGGCATGTGCTAAATCCTGGGGCCCCTGAGAAGTGTCCTTGCACAATGGGCTTGAAACTGCTCTTCCCTGGGGCCAGCTTGGCCTGCAGGCAACGTACCCATCTGCCCCAAAGCCTTTCTGTCTTCAGGTCCTTTGGCGGGAGGCGTTTTACCTCCAGTCAGACCAGGCCTCTCCCTCCTTGCTGAGCCCATCTCCCTGCTAGACTCAACGTGCCCAGTTCCGGGAGGGCTGGACTGGGCCCCTGTGGGTAATAACCTGTTCAACCCCGGAGCCTCATCGCCTCATACCAGTGACAGTGGCCTAGGAGGCTGTCGGTGGCATAACATTCTGTTTGGCATTGCAGCTGATGTCAAAACAAGACAAGGGGCTACCGGGAGGGAGGCTGGACGCAAACCTCTGCCTTTCTTTAAATAAAAAGCTCTGCTTGACCTCAGTGGCTGAAATCTCCCATCTTCAGCAACAGACCCCTGTGTGACATCCTTCCTTGGGTCACCTGGAGGGCACCTCAAAGAAAGCCTCTTTTCTCCCATTTCCAGTGTGGGGGACAAATGTCACACATAGGCAGTGAGCTGCATATGGAGAGAGATACTAACTAAACCTTTCTCTCTGGGTTATCTCCCATGGGGTATTTCCTGCACAAGAAACAATCACCTTTCATGCAATGAGCATTTATTGAGCACTTACTGTATGCCAGGGAGGCAGGCATTTGGGGCAAAAGTGCCAGGATTGAGGGTTTTTTACTTTACAGTCCAGCCCACCAACCCTGAATGTTTTGTAAATTACACACCGAATAATCTTCATTCAGCCCACACATGGGCCTCTGCCAGAGTATGTCCAACCGGGGTTACGGCCTTTGAGGGAGGGGCTGGGCGTCCTGAACAGGGCCCTGAATGACGAAGCCCGAACCCTGTGAGATGTCCCTTGCCCTGGGAGTTCAGAGGATCTGCTGGCTCCCCAGGCGCCCACGTGATCCCTGGCACAAGATGCTTAAAAAAGCTTGTTCGCAGAGAGAAAACACATGACCCAGGGGACCATGCAGTTATCTTGAAGCAGTCAGTTTAATTAAAAGTATACTGATCATTTGAGCAGGTCTCTGGAGGGCAGAACAAGGGCTTCAGTTATCAGCAAAGGGCTTTCTGTTGGCACAAGGAGGTGCCTCCTCCCAAGATGATGGACCCCTCTCAAGGGAAGGGGGTGCTGCTGAATGCAGGGTGCTGGCTCCCCAGGGCCTGCCTGAGGCTTCTGAGAAAGGGGGCGGCCTCCTCCTGGAATCTTTAGAATTTTCTACACATAAGATCATGTCATCTTCGCACAGAGAGAAGTTTTACTTCTTCCTTTCCAATTTGCACGCCTTTTCTCTTTCTTGCCTACCTGCTCTGGCTAGAATGCTCAATGCTTGTTGAACGGAAGTGGTGAAAGCAGGCATCCTTGCTTTGTTCTCGATCTTAGGGGAAAATCTTTCAGTGTTTCGCCATTGACTTTGGAGTTCACTGTGGTTTTTCATAGGAGGTCCTTGTCATGTTGAGGCAGTTTCCTTCTATTCAGTTTGCTGGATGCTTTTATCATGAAAGAGTGTTGAGTTTTGTCAGATGTCTTTTCTGCATTAACTGACATGACCCACCACTGCCTCATGAACCTGATCCTGTCAGGCTCCTGGCCTCACTCCTCAAAGCTGCTCTTGTCAAGGTTCTTTCCTGGTCCAGAGGCCATTTCCCAACCTTGCCCTTACTTGACCCTCAGCAGCATGAGCCCGGGTGATCGCTGCCTTTTTCTGGAGATGCTTCCAAGACGCCACACTTGCCTGGTTTCCTCCCACCTCAGTGGCTGTCAGCTTATGCGTCTCCCTGCTTCCTCCATGTCTCCCTGACTTCTAAACACTGGCGTGCCCAGGCACGCTCCTTGGGTACTCAGGAGGCAGCATGAGAGAAGCTGGGGCGAGGTGGGCTAGTGCCAGATCCCAGTTGGTAGAAGCCATGGAAATTTTAGAAAGCCCATCTGTCAGCTGCCATGAGGAATGGAGGAGGGCAATGGAGGTGCCACGTGCGCACAGAGGGGCCAGCCTGGACACGACCCTCTTCTCCCCCAGCCTACTGGCCCCCAAGTCCCTTTTTACTGCAGAGAATGTTGAAGACGACCTGGGGCCAGCAGTCAGGCTCAGGAGAGCTGAGAGGGCCCAAACGTCCAGGGGAGCCCCGGGGAACTAGAGCAGGGGAGCGTCACACTTGAAGCTAGGCACAGGGAGACTGCAGGCAGCACAGAGATTTTGAAGCAGGAATTATTCACATGGTGCAAGACACAAAAAAGTCACAAGGATCTGGGAGAGAAAAATCAAAACACAGAAGAGGCCCAGAGGTGACATAAGGGAGCGGGTGCAACCTCTGAGCCCATTTTCTTTCCTAATAAGTAAAATGAAACTAGGTCCCCGACGTGAGGGCCAGCTTTTCTCCTTTTACCAAGAGAACGGACAGACCCCCCTGGATCTGAACAGCACCACCTGGTGACCAGGAGGGAGCCATGCGCTCGGGCTTGGCAGGCCTTAGGCCTGGGGGAGGGGCGGGGGGTTCGACTCTGCTCCGGAAAGTGCGGCTCACCCTGGCTGCTCCCTCTTACTCCAAAAAATCAGGACAGAAAAAAAATGTAGGGAAGAATTAGGATTCCACAGCTGGTAGTTTTAACTTAGAAAAAAATCCCGTTTTCCTTCTCTTGACATAACACAGAAGCAGGACACAGATGACCGGAAAAATCAAGGTGAAGCTGCCGAAAAGCCCCGCCGGCCCTGATGCCAGTGTTACGTGGCTGGCCTTTGTTAGGCCACAGGGCTACGACGACAGCGTAGTTCAAGTCCATACACCAAGCAGACGGACCCCGGGGTCTCCAGCCTCCGTGAAGAATCAGTGGGCGGGTCCGGGAGGGTGAGAGTCAAAAGCACCATGCAGACGTACGAAGACCGCTTCAGAAGCCGGAGCTGCCCGTGGCAGCATCTCCCAGCACCCCCACATCACCCAGGGGAGTAGTCCCCACCGCCAGCCTGAGCCGCCATCACTCTTCCCAGCAGGTCCACCCCGCCGACTGACACTACTGTTGCTTGTGTGGAAGGGCCTTCCTGAGTGGCGAGAGGTTCCTATGGATGAGGATGAGTCCGCAGAGGATGAGGAACGCTCCTCCCCACCACAGGACCTCCTGGCACTCTCCATACAACACAAAACCCAGGAAGGCCTGCGGGACAGAGACAGCTGTGAGGCCGGGAGACACGTGCCTGCAGGACCCAGCCGTGGCAGGGGGCCACGACCTCGCCCTCCTGTGGCTGACTGCCCTCCTAGGGCAGGAGGAAGCCTGGAGCCGCAGGTCTTGGGCTTAAAACCCAGCTGTCACCCTCAGCAAGTCACTCTACTCATTTTGGTCTCACCTGTGGAAGCGGGGAGGGTACCTTGCTCACATCATTGACCCCAGCAAAGTGCAGGAGAAAGTCAGCAGCTAGGCCCAGCAGGCAGCTGGCACCGATGTCTGCTGACCCAGACTGGCCCATCGCATCCTCCTTCCCTTGACTGCAGGGCGGACTGGGCTCAGCCCACCGGAGGTGAGAACCTGAACTCTCCACAACGCATGCTGGAGCTCACAGACCCCTAGGAGGCAGCTGGGTTGTGCAGAGACCAGAACGAGGGCTCCAGCCCGGGTGAGCAGCAAGCAGGTTGGCTTTACACCTGGACTTCATTCCTGTCTATTGTGAGAATTCCTCTGTTTGAGAGATTAGAGGAGCAGCCGCCAGGGGTCAAGCCACAGCCCATCCACCGCTTCAGTTCCTGTCCTTTCTCCTATCTGGCAAAGCAGGAGTTGCCCAAGGACAACCCACCCAGAACCCAGGCTTGGGACAGGAGGACCATACCCTCAGGCTACTCACCGAGCTGAGGATGTTTGAAAAAGTCACCGTGACAGATGCAATGGCTGAAGACATGGAGAAACTGAGGCCCCGGCTAAAGAATGTCCACATCAGAGAATTGGTCATCGCCATCACAATAATGCCTAAGGTGCAGAAGCCCACGTTCACCTGCAGGAGAAGGTATCACTGCAGCCATGCCCATGCGACCAGCAGCGCCCCTCACAGCGCACCCAGGGTCATGGTTACTGGCAGTCGGGCCCCTGCTGAGATCCCACCACAGCCTAGGGCATCCTCAGAGCTTTCCTGCCAGGCCTTCAGTGGACAGCACATCCATTTGACAGCTGAAACAAACTCAGAGATGGCACTTACTTCGCCATCTTGCTGGCCACGTGACCTTGGGCAGAAGTAAAATGCTAATCCATCACCAGCATTTTCCTCAACACCAATCCTTTGTTGGTCGTTCAGTCCCACAGGCCCAAGGAGTTTTATTTATTTTAGCTGAGCCATCCTGCCACCTGTTGGCAGCTCAGCTCAGGCCGGGAATCGAACCGCTAGTTGCTCAGAGCTCGCACTTGAGCAAGCTCTTAACCAACTGAGCCACTCCGCTGGCCCTGAGAGTTATTACTTGGTCTGTAGTATGAGTACATCGGGCTGAGTCCTCACTTCCGGGATCTGGTAAAGCACGAATTAATCGCGTCTCCCCCAGCCTGTTACCATGGCTGGCTACTGTTACCAGAGCAGGCTACAACCCACTCTGGTCCCGCTGGGCATCCTTGAGCTTTCATTCTGCGCCAGGCCCTGTACTAAGTGTTTAAATGCATTCTCATTTATTCCTTAACTTCATTTTACAGATAAATAGCTGGAGGCATTAAGTAATTTGCCTAAAGTGCCACAGCTGGTGGGAGCCGCCAGGATTCAAACCCAGGCTGTGTGGCTCCATGCCTTTAACCAGGACACAGCCCTGCCTAGAGCAAACCCCCTGAGACTATTTGACTGGTGATCCAGGCATCCCCTGAGGAATTTGCAGAGTTCTTTCTTCCTTTTTTTTTCAAGGAGAACTGCTTGAGAGAAGAGAGGATCTTTAGAAGCCTCCTAGACAAGGGATATGCAGACCCCCTTGCTTGGTTTCCAGTTAGCAACCCGCCGGCAAAGCTGCTTCCTCTGGGGGTTGTGTCCATTTAAACATCATCTCTTATTTCTCATAACAGTTTTCCAGCAGCTGAATACATAGTCTCTTGAGGAAGGGGTGTCTTTGTATAATTTACACACAAACACTGTATGTGCCAGTGGCAGCCTGCTTATATAAAGGGTTATGAAGGCCTGGTGCACCATTAAAAAGACCAGAAAACCTCAGGTCTCATAGAGACGTTCCTCTTACTTTGGACCACTTATTTCAGGAATTACACCGCACAGGGTACTACCTACCCTCCAGCATGGCAGCTCCCACTGGATTCGCCCTAAAGAGGCTTAAACCTAAAGAATCAGCCTGTCCACCGTCCAGGTCAGGGCCTAACCCTGGGTTGCAAATGTGGGTAGGCAGTTTACAAGTTCTCAGCTTCAGGGAATGTCCAGAGCGTTTCCCAAACTCCCAAGTTTCCTGGCAGCAGGGCAGGCCCGTCAAAACATCCGTTAATTACGGCGTAAAGAGAATACGGCGTAATTATGGCGACAGGCTTCTCATAGAGTCACGTGAGAGAAATGTCCATGCACCAGGGGCTCAAAATAAGAGGCAGGTAGATGTAGGAGGTGTGCGTCTTCCCCGAGAGCGAACTAGCCCAGTCAGAGGGCAGATCTGGGGTCCCTGGGAAGGGAAGAGGCCTCAGTCCCCGACGTCTCTTACCGCCTACGCTGGGAGCGCACACATCACTGAGTCGAGGGATGCTCTCCGCCCCAGGTGGCCGCGCAGCCGGGCGGCTGATCCGGCCAGAGACGGCCGTGGGTGCGGCGTCGCCCTCTGCCCCCAGCCCCGCCCGGCCCCCGGCGCCCCTCCTCCGCCCGGCCCGCCCGCCGCGGTAGCGCCCAGGGATCGACCTGGCTGCCGAAGGCCAGCTTGGCGGAGGCGGCGGCCAGGGCCCCGAACGCGCCAGCGCACAGGCAGTTGAACACGCCCCAGAAGCGGCGCCGCATCGCGCCGGCCTGGAGGTGCCGGGGGAATCCGGCGGGGGTGTCGGGGTAAACAGCCGCGGTGCCCGAAGCCATGGCGCCAGCCACCACCTCTCCGCGCGCCCGCCGCGCCCACCCCTTCAGGGGCCGAGCGCGCGTCGCGATTGGACGGCAGTCTCACGTGATGCGTCACGTGAGCGGGGAGGCCAATTCGGGTCCTGCGAGGGCCTCGCAGGGGCGGGGCGGGGCCCAGGTCCACGCGGCCTCCTCCGGCGATGGGCGGCCTGCAGCGTCAGGTTTAGGTTTACCCCGGAGCGAGTCTGAGACCTGGGCTCTGTGGTTGCTGTTGTAACTGTTCGCGGCCTAGCAGTTTCAATACTTGGCACTCGCTGTGTCTGGCATCAGCTTCCCTTGGGAATTTAAAATGTGGAATCCCAGGCCGGGACCCACACCCTTTGACTCAGAATCTGCACCTTGACCAAGGGATTCCCCTGTACCTGCCAGTTTGAGAAGGGCCTAGTGGAAAGGTGCTTCGGCAGAGAGCGCCAGAGACCTCCAGACTCTGCAAGGAGGCGGGCTCAAGTTAGTTTCGGACAAATCAAAGGATACAGGCTCATAGCTGGAAATTTAGAAAAGATGTTCTCCATAATCACTCCGCTCTGATAATCAGGATTAACATTTCTCATTTCCTATGCACTTAAATATGTTTAAAAGGTTTTCGTTTAAAAAGTAGTACATTTCCGGCCGGCCGAGTGGTGCGTTGGTTATGAGCTGGCTTGGGATGCCAGAGGGCCAGTGACACTGCCCTCTACAGCTAAGATGCTGAACAACAGCTCAACCTGGAGCTGGGCTGCTGTGGCCCATGCAGGTGGGTTGTCATGGGCTACCGTGTGTAGCCTGCAGCCAGCGTGAGCGGCCAGCAGCCTCTGAGCGGCCATCCAGAAGCCTGCCTTGCCCGGGGAGAGCACAATGATGGTGCCAACTTGGGCCAGTGAAGCAACGTCCTCCACAACTAGACTGAAGAACAAAAGAACAGCAACTTACCTGTTCCCCTAAGGGAAAAAAAAAAAAAGTAGTACATTTCTCTGAAAATAAAGTGCTGTTGAAATGTATGGACTACATCCACTCTCCAGGAAAATATTAGAGTACTTTTTTCTCTATCCATATTTAGTTCTATATATAGCACACGTTTAAAAAGTTTACATATATGTATGGGACTTTTCTATAATATGATTTCAGAGTGAACATCGTTCTGCTTTTTTTTTCTTTTCTTTTTCATTCAGGAAGTTTTCATGGAAATCCTTCCTTGCCACCCTTTCTGACAGGGTGGTTTGGTGGCTCAGATACAAGCACGGACAACCCCGATAACTCCTATGTGTTACAAACTGCCCCATTTTGCAGTAGAGGAAATTGAGGCTCAGAGAGGCACCATGCCACTGAAAAGAGCTGCAAGAACCCAGCTCAAAGATGATCTGCTTGGAAAGTTCTTATGTTACTTGGTACCTACAAGAAATCAAGTGGCCTTGCACTTGATCAACTCTGCATGCTTTAAAGAATATAAAACGAGCCTTCTTAGAACACACAATGCCTCTACTAGCATCTCAGAGCCACTTCTGTAAAGCAGTCTGTGCTGCTCCCACACCAGTCCTGTCTCCCTGCTAGCCTGCAAGCTCCTTGAGGGAACGGAGAAATTTCTTTCTTCTCTACGTCCCCAGTGTCCAGCTCTGGGCCTTGTTATGGGGATGGTGGCTGAATTGACACCATCCTTGGCCACTCTGCTGGGAAGTGATTTCTGCCTCCTAGACAAATGCTCTTGTGACCACCTACTAGGAATCTTTGTTAAAATGAAGATTCTGATTTAAGTCTGGACGTGGATTGAGATTCTGCATTTCTACCCGGCTCCCAGGTGGTGCTAATGCCGCAGGTCAGCGCACCACACTGAGCAGCAAGGCTCTGACTGCTGCCCGCAGTGCACTCGCACGCCAGGCAGCACGCTGGCCTCCATATCTGGGCTGTCAGGGCAGAGCTGTGCACGTTCTCTCTGTTCCTGCCACCGTGCCTGATACTGTGACCAGCTCATATTTGATTGACCACAGATATTTGATTGAACCGACTATGGTTTGATTACAAAACATAAAAATAACTGACAAACAGCAACATGATGCAAACAAGAGCACCCTGAACTAGGACAGGGTGGAGGGGAAGGAATGCCTCATCCCACCCTTATTAAAAAAAAGCAAAACTCACCTCAAAGACGGCTAATGGCAAGATGCCCCACTGAGTTCCGGGAGACCCCTTCAAATTCCTCACCTTTAAGGGCTAGAAGTCACAAATTTATGAGGCCTTGGGGCCAAGGTGGGAATTTAAATGTATGAAGCTCCTAGTGTGAGACAGTAGGGGTGGGCAGGGCCTGTGCTAGTAGGGCGGATAGGGAGTGAACTGTCTGTCTCTTCCTCTGTCCCCTCTCTTTTCACTGTGTCCTCTGTCCCCTTTGTTCTGTTCAGTTAAACAAATGAGCACATACTGGGCCAGGCCCACACCAGGCAGCAGCGTTGCAGGATGACAAGGGTCCCTGCACTCATTGGGTCTGGTTTTAAAAAAATCTCAGTTGTAACTCCGTCCTGAGTGGGCCTAAGGCTTTGTCTCCTTTTCCTTGCTAGGAGTGACGTTGTGGGTTGAATTGTGGTCTTTAGGGTCTGGCTTCTTTCACTTAGCATATTTTTTTGAGGTTCACACATGTTGTAGCATACATCAGTTTATCTCATTTTTATTGCTGAGTAGTATTTCCATAATATGTAAAAGTGTTCAACATCATTGGTCATTAGGAAAATGTAAGTGACCACCAGTACACACGCACACTAGGATGGCTACAGTAAAAAACATGACTTTATTTTAAAAAGATTACATTTTGAAAATCGGCCATGTTACAGTCATAAAGACGCTCACGAGAATACTTAATGAAGGAATAAAAAAATAATCTGTATTAACAAGTTTGCTTTTTCTACACTCTGCGCAATCAATGAAGTTAATGGCTGATTAGTCATTAACTTCATTCAAGTTTGGAACCACTATATATTGTTAGAGCTTATATGATGTGCGAATTGAAGAAGAGTATGTTAGTATCTAAGGAGAAAATGATCTGGGCAACATCCACCGTAAACATTAGCTACAGGTTTTTATTTTTAAAAGGCAAAAGGTTCTCCCAGTATTTACAGTTGGTTTAGAGCCTTGAAACGGGGTGGTGACCTCTAAAGAGCAGACTGCTGATCGCCACAGAACACGTATGGATACAGCATGTTCCTCAGAAACTCTTTTTCTTTTCTTTTAAAATTACATTTTCAGCACGCAACTTTTCTGTCTCCTGGTAATTTTTTTAAAAAGGAAAAGAAAAAAAGTAAGGCTCTAACGCTTACAGGAAGAGTTATTCTTGGCATTCATTAAGTTTATATTTCAAATTAAAATGACAATTTTCAATTTGTAAACTAGTTACCATTAAACAGGAATCTGATGTGTATGAGGACTGAATTATGCTTGGAATAGCAATGACTGAATTTTTTTGAATTCAAGAAGTTCCCTAAAGGAAGCTGTTAAGTGATTCAATAATTCAGTTAAGTTTTATTTAAATAATTATTTAAAAAACAGAGTGAGTTTATCAGGATAATTTTCAGAGTATACCTACCTCAGCGAGTCTGACATTTTCCTTCTTCAGCCGCACTACGTACTGAATCTTTTGATGTAGGTTTTGGTGACCCACCAACTTCCCATTTTCCTCAGCGAGACACTCCACCTGCTTCCTTAACACTTCCAGCTCCTGCAGATAAATCAATCCGGAGAGGAGAAATGAGCTGTTCTTATTTTTTTTAAATAACCTTATTTCATGGCTTCTGAGAGCACAGGGAGAGACGACGCCCAGGCTCCCTGCTTTCATAACCACACATCTCTGCCTCAGCTCCAGCAGTCTGCACCACAGGACACCCATGCCCAGACGGGCATCTTATTCTGATTGGTTCTACTCATTCACATGTCCTAAGCACAGGAAAAAATAAACACAAATAAATGCACCTGGGATGTTCTCTCCTTTTCTTCATATAATTCTTCCAGCTTGGATCTCAGCTGTTCCTTTTCTTGGAACGCTTTGGACTCCAAAGTTCTGGTTCGTTCGACTTCCTCAGTCATTCTCAGGTAGTCTGTCTCTTTGTTCTGAAGGGTACAGTGGGCTTCTTCTAGGCTGTAACAACAAATATCACGTTATGGTATTCCAAAGAAACCGAAGTACAAAACAGTACTCAAATTAGACATTTTCCACCTAAGCCCAGAATTTTGCATTGAAAGTGTCACTGAATATTTAGCCCTACCCTTCTGACAGCAGAGGAAGATCACAAGACCTGCAGGTAGGCTTTTTGTGGCGGTGTTTTACCTAAGACTTTCATTCTGGCAAACTCTTCAAACCATTCTTTTCAACAATGAAAATTTAGAATGGAAGCTTTCAGATTCAGCCCACATGGAACAAATGTAATTTAAGCATTAGTTCAGTCTGCACATTTTATTCAGTGCCCCATATCTAACAGTCATCATTTCGGTTTTCAAAATCTGGTTCTCAGACAGTGAGATGCTAGTCATTTCTTCAAGGATGTGCTATTTAGAACTTATATACTTCGTATAACTATCAATTTAAAAGAAACATAAGAAAAAAAGCTTACTATAAAATTACCATATTTCCCCATGTATAAGGCACACCCTTTTCCGAAAAATCTGGGATCTAAAAACTGGGTGTGTCTTATACAGTGGTTGTAGATTTCAAATGCCATAGATGGAACTGAGGACGAGGCCATATATGAAGACAGTGATTTGTCATCAGACACAGATGAGAACAAGCTAATGGTTGGGAGTTTTGACAGTGATGAAGAGTTCTATGAATTTTATGATGATGAAAACTTGAGTTCAATAACTTTATGTAATACATTTTTTTTCAAATTTCAGGCCCCAAAATTAAGATGCGTCTTATACATGGGAGCGTTTTATACATGGGGAAATACGGTATATAGAATTTCACTGACTTTATAAAATGGTCTGAATCTTATAAGATTCCCAAAAGAAAAAATGCTTTTCATTTCACAGCACATATGGAACAGAATGCTGATGATTTAAATGATGCAATACACAGAATTTAATATACCACTAAAGGCCAACTAATCTCTAGGACGGTGTCCTCAGACCGCATTCCATGGAAGCTCAGGACAGTGGGGAGGAGGGCCTGGGGTTCTCCCGATTCACACGGAGCTGCCCTGCATGTCTGGCTAGTGTATATTGATTGCTTCAGTTTGAAGAAAAGGCTCTGAGGCCTGGCAGACACTGCAGCTGCCCACCCAACTCCAATCTCCTGCTTCTTCCTCGCTTCTAAAAACTCCTTTTACTTGGGGGAAAGGAAGGGTGAGGAGATGTACACCCAGCTCCCAAAGGTCAGTTAGCAGGAACTGGTCTGAGCTGAGCATGGCTCTCTCCACCCCCCGTTTCTCAGCGTGCCCTGCAGGTGTGCTCAGTCTGGCCAAGGAGACACAAGTTGATTCCTGGGGCCTCCCATACACACATGGATAACCTAATGTTTAAAAAGCTGCCGGAGGCTGGGGCTGATAGAAGGGCATGTGCCATTTTCTGGAGTGTGCTTCACCTGCCCACAGGGGGTACGTGTCACTGAGGCTCTTGGTAACTAGATTATGAAGTAAATTACATGCCCATTTAGTTTTATTCTTTTTGCTATAAGGTCTCAAATGGATATTATTTCTAAAATAGATGCAATTCTACAAACTTTACAGCTGGATTCTCATAGATCCTGTAAGTAACCCAGCTTCTATCCAGCTCTCCAACTAACTGGCTGGGAGCCAGTCTCTGAACTGCTCGTATGGAGATCACAGTGCTGAGAAGCTCTGTTCCACATCCACACTCTGATTCTCAGAAGCATGTGACTCAATAACCGGGTAGCAAATCTTTCACAAGTTGGTTGGTCTTTATCAGCTGATCATTAAAAAGGATTTCTGCTGACATATCACTGTGATTTTTTGCATATTAACTTGGACAGAGTTCAAATGACTGAATGACAGTACTCTAACAAAACTCCTTCCATTGCCATTTACTTACTATGTGAATAAGATTTCTCAGCATTTATATCTATAAAAACAGAAAATGGAATAGAATTGATACTAAATACTATCTCATTCCAGAATTAAGTATAACGGAATGAGCTAACTGAAGAAAAAGCATTAAGATAAAATGCATTGAGAGATGCATTTCCACTAATATTTTACCAGGTATAATAATTGTTTATGAAAACTGACAATAAATTTAGGATACTGTGATTAATAACTGTAATGAAAACTCAATCCAGGAGAAATACAACACTTAGAGCCATAAGAATATAAGAAACTTATACAAATCACTTTCAATTTGTATATGTATTCTCATTGGTAAGTTATATGATACACTAATCAACAAAACATTTCCTAAACAATATATTAAATTAGGATATAATCCAGGGTGGGTATAGAACAAAAATTCAATTTCAAAGGAAAAGAAAACAATGTAAAATTTTAGACTTAGGAATTTTTTCATGTATTTTTAAGTGGATGGCAAGTAGCAAATCAGTTCGATGCTGTAAAAAGAACACCGCAAGAGCTTTATTTCTAAATGTCACCATTTTCAGCACAGGCAGACCTTGTTTTATTGCACTTGGCTTTAGTGTGCTTCACAGATGTTGTGTTTTTACAAACTGAAGGCAAGACCCTCCACCTGCAAAAAGGCTACAACTCACTTTATTAAGATACTTGCTTTATTGCGGTTGTCCGGAACCAAAACTGCAATATCTCTGAGGTCTGCCTGTATGTCAGATCATCCATCCTTTGCAACAATTTAAACTTAGGATTTTAGATATAAACTCAACTCCAAAAACGTGCAAGAGAGTACGTGGTGTTTCAAAATTCTTTTAGGAGGTATAACAAGTGAAACCGTTTCTGAGGCCCTCTTTTCCTAATGAGGAGTGTCTGTCTATTCAGAGAGTACAATACGTTTCCAATGTTTTATTATTCTGTTAATACCAACCAGCTTACTTACTTTGAACTTGATAGAAAATACAGTGTATCTTGTTCATCAAAGGATCAGACAGTTTAGAAGATTACATTAATTAATATTAAAACTATGAATAAATTAAAATCTTGTCTACAGAAAATATATAGAGACCCAAGGTCAAGACCAGAAGAAATCAGAGCATTGATCTACGGGTCTCAGGACGCCTCAAAGTTTTCAAGCAGAGGAAACCAGAAGTGGAAAGAGAAACCTTCTTAGTGTCCATGAGGCGAAAAGCCATCAATTAGTCCACGGAAGCTAAGCTTTTCCTGGCTCTTATTTCTTTATGATTTTGTTTTGGAGATGGCTTTACGTGGGGAACCCCTTCAGCAAGTGGTATGTAGAAAACAACTTTGTAAACACCTATTATGTTCACATATTACTGCCGAAGTAAAGAAGTTACTTACCCTGTGGATATAAGTATTTCTTCCCTTAGAGGAGAATAAAGAAAAGACCAACAAGAACTTGAATTACAAAACAGTGCACTTACTCTGCTTTCATTTTCAGCATTTCTTCAACTAATTTATTCTATAAGATTAAAAAATAGAAAAAAACAAAAAAAGACAGCTTAAATTCTTAACATTGATAAAAAATACCTATATATCTCTCTCTATACATAGATATATAGATATAGAAAGTAACCAGTCCACTCTCCCTCACGGTAATAAAATCAAGTAAACCAACATCCTTTCCCACAATCCCAACTACCCACACGTAAAGGGGGCACCTAGTCACAAGACTTTGTATACTGTGCCCTCTAACACCTCAAATAGGCACTCGATCCTTGCTTCTAAATGGACAACTGTGTGTGGGTACGCTAATGTAGGCTTACCACTGAGGCATAAGACAAATGCACTCTTAATTCTCAGCTGGGTCTAACTACTGATGATAAATATCAAACTCAACAGTGGGGATACAGAAATCTCAGTAGTAATGACAGAAATCTCAATAGTAAATGGTTTCTAAAATATACAACCATAAATGCTAACTATAAAAGCACTTCTCAGAAAAGAAAAATGATGTAAAATCAAAATCATACTTTAGCAAGTCTTTCTTTGAGAATTTCTTCTTGTTCACTCTTCAGCTGTTGATTGTGTGGATGGTTCTGTTCCCTGCATAGATTAGGGAGCGAGGATGGGAAAACAGTCATGTAGAGTCAAGTATCAAGGTCACGGACTTTGGGTGGCTCTTTCTCACCTGTTGTCCTTTTGTCTTTTAATATCATCCAGTTGACCTTGAAGGAGCCAGTTTTTCTCTCTTAGCTGCTCAGCTTCCAGGCGTAGGTTTTCCATTTCACTCAATTGCTCCTAAAAATACATCAAATCATGTCTTTCCAGAAAATGTGTGATAAAAGGTGCTATTTTGCTCCCCAAGGCCACGATCGAGACCGGCGCTCCTCCTTTAAGCTCTTCTATGCACAGAACACTGGATAGCGCTGGATTAAAAGTCGACTGCGACAAGCTCTTGGGGTCCCAGAACTGGGATTCATTCTATTGATAACACCCAGAGTGTCTTAATCATAGTCTCTTATCAGTATCACATAATTTATTAGCATTCCTTTATGAGGAAAGATGACAAAAAGCCTCTACTTTGGTAAATGTTCTATTTGATTCTATTAACAGATTCTAATTTAAATACTTTGTTGGATTCTAACTTAAAAAGCATGAGCATAACCATCTAGAAACTAGTCTGCAAGGAGTTCCTTTTTGATTTACTTCTACTTGTCTGTTTGATTTCTTTTAATCTGACCCAATTTCTTCTAAGTACGAAGAGCATGCCAATCTGGGTACCAGCCACATCCCTGAGACAGCAGCACACTGAAAGCTGCCATAAATAAAAAGGCCAGGACTGATCCCCTCCACGAGAAACAAAGCTTAAGAGTGATACCATCTTCACATACTTTATGCCACTTGGTTACAACAGCTAGTTTGATTTCTAGACGAAACTCACTGCAGAGCAATGGCTTCACAGGCTAACTGCAATCTTCCATGCATGCTGTTCCCTCCTTCCCCACCCTTCCCCGCACACACCTACCCATCACCTACCGAGACACTCCTCCACGCACTGCCCACCCTCAGTGCTACTCTCAACACACTCCCCTCACACAAACACCACACTCAAGTACCTGGGTAAAACACCAGAAGGAAGTTTAAAAGAATGGCAAACGAGTGTTTTTAACATTTTTATATTTATCACAGAAGCAAATCTCTCTACTATGTAAAGAATGACTCAAAATCATTAAGGAAAAAATCCAATAGTAGAAAAATGGGGTGGGACCGGCCGAGTGGCGTGTTGGTTAAGAACTGGTTTGGGATGCCAGAGGGCCCCAGTTTGGATCCCACATGGGGGCCAGTGACACTGCCCTCTGCAGCTAAGATTGTGAACACCACCTCGACCTGGAACTGGGCTGTGTGAGTCATTGGCGACGGCGTAGGCTGCAGCCCCTGCTGCAGTGGGCTGCCATAAGCTACCGTGTGTGGCTGGCAGCCAGCGTGAGCTGCCAAGAGCTACCGTGAGCGGCCGTCCAGAGGCCGGCGACCAATCTGCCTCACTCGGGAAGAACGTAATGATAATACCAATATGGGCCAGTGAAGCAACGTCCTCCACAACTAGACTGAAGAACAAAAAGGACAGCAACTTGTCTGTTCCCATTCCCCTGATTCCCCAGCGCTGTTCCCATCCCCCAGTTCCCCAATAACTCCTAAGACAAATACAGACTTAAAACTACCAGGAGATAACATGCTTTAGCTATTAAGGTGGCAAAGATCTAAAAGCGAGCATTGTGACGAGAGCAGCGGGTGCAGCCTGTATGATGATACCATCATATAAAAACCAAAGTGACAGGGAGACAAGGCTCCCAGGCTTGGTTACACACACACTGGGAAGGCTCTTTAGAGATAACCAAGGAGCTGGCTACACTGGGAGCCTCCAGGGACAACAGACGAGGCCGCCCACAGCCAGGGGCGAGAGGAAGACTTTTCTCTGTCTACACTTAGTTCTGTGCCTTTGGAATTCTGCATCCTCAGGAACCATGAACGATACTACTTATTTTATTGTATTTTATTTATTATTATTATTATTTTTTTTAGCTGAGCCATCCTGCCACCGTTGGCAGCTGAGGCTGGGAATTAAACCAGCGACCCTGGTGCTCAGAGCTCATACTCTTGAGTGAGCTCTTAACCAACTGAGCCACTCGGCCAGCCCTAAGATACTACTTATTTTAAAACATCCTATTGAAAAACAACATTATCCAGTTACCTTCATTTTGAAGATTTCAGCATTTTTTACTTCTCTGTCTTCGTTTAGCTTTGTTACGAGGTGTTGCAAAGATATCGTAGAGGCTCGTCCATCTTCTATCTCTTGTTCTTGTGATTCCAGGAGTTTTGCCAAATGTGTTTGAAAATGAGGTGGTGTTTTAGGACTCTAAAATAAAATCAAATGCCATCCAAACACCTGATTAAGTGAATGTTTTAAAGAGTTCATTTTAGGTGAATATGCCAAGCATATAGAAAATACTCAGGCTGTTTAGCTTGTTATTCTAATTCTTGTCCAAGTAAAACATATAAAACACTGGTACTTTTTTATCAGGTAAAAAGCAGAAAAGGTGTTAGTGAAAATCTTTTTCTATATAAAGACAAAGCTACAGTCTTAGCAATTTCCAAACTTTTACCACTCACAAAGCTATTTATTCCTCCTGAAATGCACCGTTTTCCTGAAAAGTACCTGGGGATACTCGGCAGCAGAACCCATCACATGTTCAAGTTGCCTCATTTTGAAGTTATATTCATTCTTTTTCTGTTCTACTTCCTCTTTCTTTTGGTTTAGCTGGGAAAATCAACAGATTGTAAGGTTATAAGTTATAAAATAATATGAGGCACATGATCCCATTAGAACAGCCAATCTTCCCAAGGCATGTGGAAACTGGCTTTTTACATCTTTTTTTTTTTTTTGGATTTAATTAATAATTTGAAAAGCAGTGAAATATTAAAACAAACAAAAAACAACAAACAGCAATTTTTAAAGTAATAAATGGCAATACCTGGAGCTGCCATTTGTGCC